TAATAAAGGACTTTGTCTCTGACTCAGGAGTCTTCTATTTTCTGCCAGCATCCAGGAAACAGTAATAGGTTAACTTATTAGCTTGTAACTAAGGTAAAATAAAATCCCAGACCTTTGTATTTGACCGTCTCAATTTTTTTAAACACATATTATTCTAGATGAGTTCTATATTATTTTTTGTACCAAATTTCAACATTTTTAATTTTCATGAAATTTATCCATTTCATGTATTAGCATATAATCATTCTTCATACCTTTATTTTCTTGATAATATGATGTATCTGTAGTTATTTCTCCTTTGTTTTGAATTTATATTCAAATACATTTGAATATGTATTTTCTTGATAAGTTGTTTCAAATAAAGCTTAATAATCAGTCCTTTTATAGATCCAACTCTTGGTTTTTTTAATCTCAATTTTTGTGCTTGATGTTTTTGTTCTCTAACTCATTGTTTTCTGTCCTTCGTTATTTCTGTTATTTTTTATGGCGTGGCAGGGTTGCTGTTAGTTTTTTCCAATCTCTTGAGTTAAATGCTTGCTCATTTGTTAACAGTTTTTATTTCTGGATTAACATATTTAAAGTTATAGGTTTTCCTCTAATTACTCCTACTTTATCTGTGTCCCACAATTTTGATTCTAGTGGTTTTATTATCATTGAATTATCAGTCTAAATTATTTCATTTTCTTTATGGTTTTCATCTTTACCAAAGAGCAATTTAGTAACAATTTTTTTTAGTTTTCAAACACATTTAAGTTTTTTTATCCTTTTATTATTTTCTAATTTTATGCATTATGGTCAGAGAGAAATGATTTATATGATTTTTTGTGTGTGTGTGTGAGGAAGATCAGCCCTGAGCTAACATCCATGCCAATCCTCCTCTTTTTGCTCAGGAAGACTGGCCCTGAGCTAACATCCGTGCCCATCTTCCTCCACTTATGTGGGATGCCACCACAGCATGGCCTGACAAGCGGTGCGTTGGTGCATGCCCGGGATCTGAACCCGGGCCGCCAGCAGCAGAGCACGCGCACTCATCTGCTATGCCACGGGGCTGGCCCCTGATTTATATGATTTAATCCTTTTGAATTGAGGCTTCCATTAAGGGCTAATGTATGGTCTATTTTTAAAAAGTTAAAAATGTGCTTGAAAAAATGTGTCTTCTCAGTTTGTTGGATGTGGAGTTTTATACATGTATATATGTATATTGCTGTATGTGTATGATGACTATATCTTCTTGTTCTATTCCTCTTCTTGACAAGTATATAACACCTTTTTTTCCCCCTAAAATTCAATCTCATCAGATAATAAGTACTCCAGCTTTCTCTTGGTTCCCATTTGCCTGGTAAATCTTTTTCCATCCTTTGTTTTCAAACTTTCTATGCCTTTTTATTTATAAATATATTTCTCTTGTAGCTGACATATTTGTTAAATCCAATCTGATTTTGTCTTTTAATTGATGAATTTTATCCATTTATATTTATTGTGGTTACTCTTACATAAGGATTTATTTCTGCCATCTTGTTTCGTATTTTCAATCTACTGAACTTCAGTTTTGTTTCTTTTTTTTCTCTTTTCTTGCTTTCCATTGCAGAAAAAGTTTTGTTCTGCTGGCTTAAATGTTAGATCACTTTAAAAATGGTCTAAAAGTGACTTCATCATTATTAGTTATGCGTCCATGGGCAATTCTTGCCTGTTCCCTCATCTGTAAAATGAGAATAAAGTAGAATATGGTTGTTGTGGGAATTAAATGAGTTAATATATGTAAAACTCTTAGAATAGTGCCTGGTAAGAATAAAGTTCTGTATAAGTGTTTACTGTTTTATCATTATGATAGTTGCTCTTAAGACTCATATTTGTGTCTTCCTGTTGATTTCTGAAACATCAATATTTGTATCCTCTCCCAACAAGACGAGTATTTTACCTCTTCTCATGTTCCTATGTTCTATTTCTCTCCTCTTCCCCACCACATTGGTATTATCCAGATTCTAGAACTTTTGGCCTGAATTGTTATGGATATACTTTCTCCTTTGCTTTTTTGTTGCTCCCACTCTTTTTATTAGTACGATAGACTTTACCAAGCTATTTGATTATCTTTAATTCACATATCTCTTTCAGCATTTTCTATGCTTACTTCTCTTCCTCTAAAAGTGTTTTCAATGTGGATCTTCACCTGACAAAACTTCTGAGACTTTGTATGCCTAAGAACATTTTTACTACACCTTCAGATTTGAATGACAGCATACCTAGTTATAAAGTAATAGGTTCAAAATTCTTTTCTTTCAGTATTCTAAAAATACTACATTGCTCTTGTTTCCAGTGTAGCTATTGAGAAGTTGGATGTTGTCTTAGTCCATTTGGGCTGCTATAACAATTTAGCATTGATTGGGTAGCTTATAAACAATAGATAGTTATTTCTCAGAGTTCCAGAAGCTGCAAGTCCAAGATGAGGATGCCAGCATGGTTGGGTTCTAGCGACAGCCCTCTTTTGGATTGCTGTTGACTTCTTGCATGGCAGAGAGGGCAGGAGAGCTCTCTGGGGGTTCCTTTCACAAAGGCATTAACCCCATTGATGAGGGCTCCACTCTCATGACCTAATTACCACCCAAGGGCCCCATCTCCTAACAGCACCACATTGGGGAGTAGAACTTCCACATAGGAATTTCTGGGGGACTTATTCATTCCATAATAGATGTAGATCTGATGCTTGTTCCTTTTTAGGTGACCCATTTTCTCTAAGTTTTTATAATTTCTCTCTTTGTCTTTGATATTGTGTCTAAATGTGGTTTTTCCTTCTATCCTACTTGGCTTTTTCTGAGGCATTTTTTTTTTTTTGTGAGGAAGATCGGCCCTGAGCTAACATCTGCCAATCTTCCTCTTTTTGCTGAGGAAGACTGGCCCTGGACTAACATCTGTGCCCATCTTCCTCTACTTTATATGGGATTCCGCCACAGCATGGCCTGACAAGTGGTGCATTGGTACGCACTTGCGATCCGAACCCAGGCTGCCAGCAGCAGAGCCCTCGCACTTCACTGCTATGCCACAGGACCAGCCCCATCTTAAAGTATTTTCTGCATTCCTTTCTAATATTTCTCTTTTCTAAGGCTTATTATTACCTGGAATGTTGGCACTCCTATACATATCCTCCATAATGCTTATCTTTTCTTCTACACTTTCAATCTCTATTTCTGATGCTTTCTGGAAGAAGTCCTCAATCTTATCTTCAAATAAACTAATTTTAAAGCTATATCTATACACAATCCTTCCACAAAGGAAGATAGGAGCAGAATCAAATAAGTACAAAACATAACAAAAAAGCACTGAGTGGACATATTAGGTGTGAAAAAGGTAATAGTGGAAATAAAGAACACATGGGGGTTGTTGGTGCCTTGACAAGAATGTTTTGACTGGAGTAATGGGAATAAAGCAAGATCGGAATAATGCAAGAAGAAAAGTGGGGGTAGAGGGGAGATGAAGTGAGTATAGATAACTCTTTTCCAGGAATTTTTGCTATAAAGCGTGCTAAAAATGGAAAGGTAGGGTCTGGGAGGGTTTTAAAATGGGAGGTATTATGCAAGTGGGAACAAGCCAATAGAGCAAAATGACTCAGGAACGTGGGGTTAATTGCAGGAGTGTTTTTAGTAGCAGGAAGAATGGATACTGGTCACAACTAGATGGAATGGCTAGAGAGTAGAGATGGTTCATGTTGTGATAGGAGGGAAGGAAGTTATATGGGCACAGATGTGTTAATAGATTTGGAGGGTGAAAAAATTGTTCCATTCTCTCAGGGAAAAAGTGAGGAGGGAGGGAGTGAGGAGGGAGGATAGAAGGTCTGAGTAAAGAGGAGAAGATGTGAAATACTTGCTGGGGAGAGGTTAAGTGTGAACTGACCAGAAAATGTGTGAGGATTGTCACACAGTGCTGTGGGCCCTTTTCAGGGCCATACATTTCAAGTGAAGAGTCAGCATGGTTGTTTTTTTCTCCAGCCATGTTCAGCTACTTAGAACAGAGCAGAGTTGTTGAAGTAGTTGGATATAAACAAGATTTGAGTTCTCAGTTCAGAGGGACAAGAGAATTTAGGGTATATGCAGGGAGAATGATGTCTATGTTAGAGAAAGGAAAGGGAGAGGCACGGACTTTATGGACAAGGGATGAGGGATAGAATCAATTGTCTGGAGAGTCAAACAATTGTTGGGATAGGCGTAACAAACAGAATGACCTAGAAAGAGAGGTGAGTAGGATGCTAGAAGTTGAGACTTTTGGAGGTAATGACAAGATCTAGAGCCGTGTTTTCAAACTATAGGTTGGGTTCCATTAGTGGGTCATGCAATCAGTTTGGTGGGTCAGTTTCTAAGCATTTTAAATCCTGGCTGCACACTAGAACCTAAAATTAAAAAAAAAAAAAAAATGCCCACACGTCACTCCGCGATTCTGATTTATCTGGACTGGTGTAGGGTTCACAAATCAACTTTTCATTAAAATTGTCCAGGTAACTCCAATGTACAGACCTGGTCAATAACCACTGTTCCAAGAAGATACTGACATAAAAAGACTGATGATAGTACTAATGGTAGAAAGACAGTAAGCCAAGTGCTAAAATCTTCTAAGAATTAGAGATGAGTATGAGATCAGATGTGTGATAGGTTGTAATAAGGTGAGGTAGCAGGTGGCATAGTCAATGGTAGTTAATGTTCTCAACAGCGCATTTGCAAGAAAGAAAAATGTATACACACACCCGTGCACGCACTAGGTTAACCATTTTACAGATGGATTTCAAATAGAAACTTTGACTTCATTTCCTATATTTTTAACTAACTGGAAATAAATGCAAGTCAGTAAAAAAAAAAAAGTGCCTGGCATCTAAATTCAAGGACTTCCCCATACCCCACCATGATAAAGTTTGATTTGAATAAACTGTACCCAACTTTAGAAATAAGAGTATTGCTAAAATTATAAAAATCTATTTGCAAGAAAGAGAAAATAAATTGACTGGAAAGTTTATTGGAAAATCTATGTCAAGCTCCATAATTTAAAATTATTTAAAACAAATTAAAAACATCTATAAAAGGTCAGAACATTCAGTATTTTAAGATAAAACTAATTTAAAAAAATTGTAGTATCATGGTTATGAAAATAACAATGATGGCAAGCTATACATTTTTTAATTATAGAAAACATTAAACAAAATATCTAACAAAATATGTCTTGCTGTTGCTTTGGGGGAAAAGGTGGGGACAAATACTTTTTATTTTATTTACATGTTTATTAAGAGATTTTCCATATGACATTGCAAATAGTTCCATTTCTCTTGTATTTTGCTATAATACATGAATTCACACAAAGGAGATGGAATACATAAAATTACAAAGATGGTGGAAAAGCCACATCACACCAAATATACACTAAATTATTGCAAAAGGCATAATCCGAACATATAAGGCACATTAGTTTTAGAAAGAGCACTGTCCACCCCCAGGCACCCACAAAGATACACACACGAAAACTCCACTTCATTAAACCACAGGAGGAAACAAAATGTATCATAAATAATTGGTTTTCCTCTTTCCTACGTTAGTTTTTAAGTTCTTTCTCAATCATAATGAAATCTATTAAGAACAGGATTTTCTTTAAATGTATATGGTTCAAACACGATTAGTTTTTGTATCTGACATTCTATTTTCGTACTTCTGTTCTTTTATTAATATATGTATATATCTAAATTCTTTAAAATTACAACTTTGAAAATTAATTGTAAAAAGCTGTTTTCTATTTAATATCCCACAGTTCAGTGTTTATATACTATTCAGGAAGACTGATAAATTACAACATACAGGTTTAGAAGCAAAAAACTGATATTACTGAATGTATACTGGAATTTTAATGAAGTGTTTTACTATACTTACCCCACATACTTTTTATAGTCTGAAATTTTAGATTAATACAGTCAGAAACTTTATTTACTGAAAAATTGTCCCTAATTTCTGTTCTACTGATTTACAAAATTCTGAATATAGCTTTAGTTTGATTTTGATAGTATTTGTATTATGTGAAGAGTCCATGTGATAGCCAAAATAATATAATATTGTATATAATATATAAATGTATCTTTCCCATCACAGTTCTTCTAGTTGGCAATAACAAACTATATACAGTAACGGTAATTATTATTTTATCGAGACCTCTCCTATTACAAGAATAGACCTGAACATATTCCCCTGAGGACAGACAGCAAATTGGTGAATAATTAATTTTACATTTAGAAGAAAAACATTAAGCGTGACAGCATAGCATCAAAGTTGATAATCCTTTGTGAATGTGTAAAAGGTATGGGTTATAAAAACAGGCATGAAAACTAAGAACACTTTAAAAACAAGTACTGTAAGAATATTTACATACATATATCATGGCTCATTAAGAAAAAGATTATTAAAGCATAATGTGAACAATACATTACATTAATTCACAGTATAAACACACTTTGAAGAGTAATTTAAGTCAGGAATAATAAAAATACAGACATAACATCCGTTAGCACTATTAATACATATTTTGTTCTGTTATATATATGAAAATATACACATACAGCTCTTTTAAACCAAATATTTCACATAAACATTCACTGATTTAAATAAAAGTTGACAGAGGTAGAATTTGTGTCAATGTTCATGATTTTCAGGAACAAGTGCTTCAACTATTTCATTACTGTTCTGTCTTTTAAAAGTCCAGATAGCCAACTCATTGCAAGTCATCATTCTGAAAAAGGGGGGAGGAGAAAGGGGGGTTAAGAGAAAAATGATAAACAAAATTACACAGTACACTCACACAAAACTGAAATTCAGTAATGTTTTAATTGAAATTATAGTCTCTAATAAAACCTTTGCCCATAATCAAGTTATATTTAAAAGCTAAGAAGTACTGTTCTATACTTCAAAAAGATATTCCCCTCAAACTACCAAAGTACATCAAAGTACATGAGGACTAAAGGAATGATACACAGTGAAAAGACTGGGATAATATAGCAGGTTAATAGAGAAAAATCATTCAAAAGAAGGGATAATATGATGTCTAGGTTTAATAAAATTATATATAAGTACTATCAATTATGTTTGAGCCTTAAAATAACATGCTATGGATAGTCAAATATTTTTCCAAATATTTTGACCTTATGTGCTATCTAATCACCCTCCCAATTAAAACACACACACATTAAAATATGAAAAATCCCACAATGGAAACATTGAGAAAGTAATTATATTTTTCTATACCTAGGAAGACATACTTAGGAAGAAATTATCAGACATGTTGTCCAATACTGATGTAAAACATTATTTATGAGAAAAAAATTGGAAATAAGCTATATGTCCCATAAAAGGAGAATGATTAAATAAATCACACAATGTCCATGTGATGAACCGTTAGACCATTTTTTTAAAACGGCACTTTTGAAAATGCTTTTAATGATAAGAATAAATGATTGCAACAATATTAAGTGGAAAAACCCTAAAGAACAAAACAAAACAAAACAAACCAGGATAAAAACTATTTTGAGTATGATCTCTATTAGAATTATATATGTATGTCTATGCATGTGTGTATATGTTTATTACAAATTAAATATAAGAAGGAAGTATACCAAAAGGCTAATTGCTATTTTCTTTGGGTTGCAGGATTAAAAGTGCTTTTGATTTATACATCCATGTTCATAGCAGCATTTTCACAATAGCCAAAAGGTGGAAGCAACCCAAGTGTCCATCAATAGATGAATGGATGAATAAAATGTGGTATATATATACAATGGAATATTATACAGCTTCAAAAAGGAAGGAAATTCTGACACATATTTCAATATGGACGAACCTTGAAAACCTTATGTTAAGTGAAACAAGCCCGTCTCAAAAGTACAAATACTGTATGAGTCCACTTACATGAGGTACATAGAGTAGTCAAATTCATAGAGACAGAAATTGTAATGGTGGTTGCCAGAGGCTGGAGGAAAGGGAGAGTAGGGAGTTAGTGTTTAATGGGTACAGAGCTTCAGTCAGGGAAGATAAAAAAGTTCTAGAGGGGGCTGGCCCTGGTGGCGTAGAGGTTAAGTTCATGTGTTCCACTTTGGCAGCCCAGGGTTTGCTGGTTCGGATCCTGGGCGTGGACCTACTCACTGCTCATCAAGTCATGCTGAGGCAGCGTCCCATATACAAGAGCTACAACTCTACAACTATGATACACAACTATATACGGGGGCTTTGGGGAGAAAAAAAAGAAAAAAGAGGAAGATTGGCAACAGATGTTAGCGCAGGGCCGATCTTTCTCAAAGAAGAAAAAAAGTTAAAAAAAAAGTTCTAGAGACAGATGGTGGAGATTATTTTTGCACATCAATGTGAATGTACTAATTGTCAGAGAAATGTACACTTAAAAATGGTTAAAATGATAAATTTGATGTTATGTATATTTTACTGCAATAAAAAAGGAAAAAAGTGATTTTGGTTTCCTTCTTTATACTTTTGTATTTAATGTTTTCTCAGTGAGCATGTATTAGATACAATAATTTTAAAAAGTAAAAACAAAATTGGATTATATGTTTTAACTATTAGACACTGTAAATATGAATTGATATGAATATTTCATATTCATTTCTGAGTACTTATAGGGAAACCCCTTAAAATTAGTTTTGGTCACAATATTTAGAAAATATGAATAGAAATCGGTAACCAATTAACAACATTATTAGGATACTTTGAGAATTTGTTAACGGTTGTATAAGTTTTCTAATTCACATCTATTGGGATGGCTATAATAAAAAAAAAAGGAAAATAACAAGTATTGGCAAGGGCGTGGAAAATTGGGACCCTTACAGTGCTGGTGCAAATGTAAAATGGTATAGCCATGTCGAAGAAGTTTGGAGGTACTCAAAAAATTAAACATAAAATTATCATATGACCTAGCAACTCTACTCCTAGGTACTCCCAAAAGATTTGAAAACAGGAACTAAAACAGATAGTTGTACACCCATGTTCTTGTAGCATTATTCACAATAGCTAAGACGTGAAAACAACCCATGTGTCCATCATGATGAATGGATAAACAAAATGTGGCATAAACATATACAAGAATATTATTCAGGCATAAAAAGGAATGAAGTTCTGACACATGCTACAACACAGATGAACCCTGAAAACATTATCCTAAGTGAAATAAGCCAGATGAAACAGACAAATACTGTATGATTTCACTTATATGAAAAATCTAGAACAGGCAAACTCAGAGAGACAGAAAAGTAGATTAGAGGTTACCAGGGTCTGGGGAGGTGATTGCAGAGGTACTGCTTACCGGATACAGAGTTTCTGTTTGGGGTGATGAGAAAGCTTTAGAAATAGTGGTGATGGTTGCATAACATCGTGAATTTAGTGCCACTGAGTTGTACACTTAAAAAATAGTTAAGAAGGCAAAGTTCACGTTATATATATTTTGTTGCAATTAAAAAAAGTTTTCTAACTCATCACAGCTTTAGAGATGCTGGATTCCACTATGTTCTATATCAGTGGTTAGTAAAGTATAGTCTGGGGATCCCTAGGAGTCCCAAAGACCCTTTTATAGGGTCTATAAGGTCAAGTCTATTTTCATAAAACTAAGGAATTATTTGCTTTTTTACTCTTATTATCTCAAGAGTGTACAGCTGAGTCTTCCAGAGGCTACAAGATGTGAAAGGCTAGGTAGTAAATATTTTAGATTTGTGGGCAACAGGGTCTCTGTCACAACTACTCAATTCTGCCACTGTGGAAAAGCAGTCTTAGACAACATGTAAACAAATGGGTGTGGCTATGCTCCAATAAAGCTTCATTTACAAAAACAGGTGGATTTGGCCTGCAGACCCTAGTTTACAAGCCCTTATCTAAAATGCAGCTGTGAATCAAGCATGAGAAAATGTTTGTGTCACAACTGTTATAAGGCTTTATAATGAGAAGCTGAACTTCCCTCTAATCACATTCAAATTAATGCAGCATGGGCTGGCCTGGTGGCGCAAGCGGTTAAGTGTACACGCTCCGCTGTGGGGGCCTGGGGTTCACCGGTTTGGATCCTGGGTGCGCACCGACACACTGCTTGGCAAGCTATGCTGTGGCGGCATCCCAAATAAAGTGGAGGAAGATGGGCATGGGTGTTAGCCCTGGGCCAGTCTTCCTCAGCAAAAAAAGAGGAGGATTGGCAGATGTTAGCACAGGGCTGATCTCCTCACAAAAAAAAAAAAAAAAAAAAAAATTAATGCAGCAGCTTAGAAGGACACAGTGATTGCAGCCAGCACTGAGAAGTGGTCCTCAAAGTGAAGGAGAAAAATAAATGTTTTAATCAAACGAACAAACACAAAAGCAAAGGCACAGCAATCCAATCTCTTAAACCTAGGCCCTACAAACACCAATAACCCTGGGGGCATCAGTATATTAAAGTACAGCACATAACTAATGTTCAAAATGCGGATTCTGAGTCATCGAAGAAATGCTTAATTATCTTCTATATACTTCTATAAAAGAGGCAAAGAAAGGCATAATTTTTTAAAAAGAATGACTTTACTATTTCTCTCAATGAGCCTACATTTTTCACAGTCACCCACCTTTCAAACCCCGGGTCTGATGCCCTTCTTTCCCATTCATTCCCACCTACAAAGAACCAGCACATCTCTTTGACCTTTCCTCAGTCAAAGTGTCCTAGCTCTTTACGACCACTTTGGAAAACTGTTTTGCCATATTTACGTAAGCTTGAACACATGCATGTCCAATGACTTGACATGCACTGAACATGCATGTCCAGCAACCTGACAATTTCACTCCTAAGTGTATACTCGAAAGAAATGTACATAGCTCTTCACCAACATACAGGTCCTAGAATGTTCATCATAACTATCTGTAATAGCCAAAACTGGAAATTACAAAATGCCCCTTAATGACACAATGAGTAAATGGATTGCGGTAGTTTACATAATGGAACACTATGCAGCAACAAGACTAAACAATCTACAAGTACACACAACAGTATGGATGAATCTCACAACTGTACTGCTGAGGAAAAGAAGCCAGAAATGTAAGATTTCATTTATAAAATGTCCAAAAACAGGCAAAAATAACCTATGCTTTTAATAGTCAACACAGTTACTGTTAGAGCAGGGTTTATGACCAGAAGGGAGCCCAATAGAAGTAATGTTTTCTATCTTGACCCGGGTGCAGGTTATATAGGTGTCTTCAGTTTGTGAAAATTCATTGAGCTGTATACTATGATACCTGTCCTGGCTTTCAATATTATTATACTGATCCTGAACCGATTATACTGTTCATTTCATACTGTTCAACTCTTTCTGGTCTCCCTGCCTCTGGTTTCTACCCTCCCTAACATGGCTCAAATACAGTTGTGAAGTTAATCCACCAGGAACAGTTCTTTCATCTAACCCTCCCTTGTACCCAGCCCACGTACAGGAGGACCTCCAATGTCTCCCCATGACTTACAGAATAAAGTCTATAATCTCTAATTGAGCCTCACATTCAACATATTCTATACGTCCCACTCTACCTTCCATGCCTTTCTCCCTCATTACTCCCCAACAACCTGCCATTCCTGTCAGACTGAGTCTACTGCACTACGTGCATTCCTGTTTCTATGACTTTGTCCACACTTTTACCATCTATTATTTGTACCTTGAATTTGGCACTTCATCAAACATTACCCTGTGATATCTCATATTATCATTTCGTGTTTTGTTGTGGATGTCTTCTCTTTTTTAATTGAGGTATAATTTATGTACAATAAAATGCATGGACCGTAAATGCTCAGTTCAATGCGTTTTTACAATTGTATCTACTCGTATAACCATCACCACCAAGATACAGAACATTCCATTACTTTAGAAAGTTCTCCTGACCACCTTTGTAGGCATTCTCCCCTCCACCTCACACAGAAAACTACTTTCTGAATTTGTATAACCATAGATGAGTTTGGCTTGTCCTTGGTGTTATATACATACCTTTCTGATAACTATCAGTTTATATGTTCAGGAGACTGTAAAGGAGACCTCAGAGTAGAACTAAGAGGTGGTGTGGGAAGACCATGTCGACGCATCTCTTGGATTGCTCGTTCTCTGTCCGTAAAGATCAAATAAGAGATTACACCAAAAAAACTGGTATACAAATATAAGGCGCTGTTATTGTTATTATCTAACTAGGTAATTTCTACTCAATTAATTAATTAGTATTTTTATTAAATTTAAGCCCAATCTCTTTATATGATTTTCAAATAATGGATAAAAGATTTCGATTAAAGGAATACGTACTACAAGAGGCTGTCCAAAACCCCTCTCAATACAGATTTTCAAATTTGGCTGGTTCCCTCCTCTGCCCCTTCCTTTCACACCTCTTCGTGCACATAAATCTAGCCTTCTTCCTTTTTCCTGCCTCAAAACTCCCAAATGTCAGAAGTGAAATAATCCGTTCTCTCTGCTATGCTTTCCTTCCCTGTGTCTGGGTCTGCCCCAGAAAACATGGTCTCTGGCCTAGACTTTTTCTGCCTTGAGTTCTTCAGTGTCCAGGATTTCTACCTAGTTGGGTGTTTCACAAATATTTTTTCATTATTATCTCCCTAAAGAAACTTCTTAAGCATTTTTCCATCTATATTCCAAATAGCACATCACTCAAAAGTTTAGCTGCAAAGGGATAAGAATAAGAGAATCCAAAAATTGACCTAATAAGCAATTTGACCACTATTTGAGAAGGAAATATCAGGAATGCTGATGTCTACGGTATTAATATAGTAGGAAAGCATAATGGAAGAAAAGTAACTTGATAATTGATTTGCAAATTAGGCTTCAATTTAAACTGTTAAAGCAGGTCTCATTCCAGTTTGGAACGCCTGGAGATTAAATTTTTCAACATAATAAAGCAAATGAACCGAAATGTGAGTATGAAAATTACTAAGCTATAGGGAATATATTGTAGAGGTTAAGAGCACAGACTTTAAAATTAGACCAACCTGCCTGGATTTTAGTCTTGGCTCGGCTATTTACTATTTGTGTGAGTCAGTTTCCTATAATATAGGCCTAACAGATTGTTAGTAGGATTAATCAGATATGTACATAGTATGTGGCACCTATTTGTTAACTGCCCTTATGATCATCAGCATCATCGCTTTTGTGATGATTTGTTTGGAGTTTCCTATTGGACCATCTTGTTTTGACTCTTGTAGAATCCTTACTGTCTTATTGATTCCCTAGCTATATCCTTTGAAATAATGCCCTAATTTTGCCCTGAGGAATGCTATAGGAAACACTTACACAATACTTGCTACTTTATTTACTGTAGGGATATTATCTTTCATAACACTTATTGCTTTTTTAGGACGAATTACTAAAAAATTTTATTTTACATATTAATGCTAAAAAAGTTTGTTATTTGTAAGCCATATTAAATCCTATTTGGAACAGGATAGGGAATAAATAAAAACATCGTTCAATGGTAAATTTTCTTCTTACCGTTCATATCTTTCAGTTGAAATCTGCCTTTTCAGAGCATCATGATCTGTTTGTAATTGTGCCACTTTAGCCCGAAGCATGGTGTTTTCCCGGCTTTGACTAGTTCTTAAAAACAAATTTTAAAAAAATCAAAGAAATAAATAACAAATGTTCTGTTTTGTAGAGTCAAGTGCTATGGATTTCTGTTTTTGTTATTAATTAATACAAATGGAGTGATACTTAGGGATGAAAAAGAGAAGATCAAGACTTTTCAACAATAATTCTCTGAACTTCTGGAGATTTTATCACAAAATTTTCTTTTTCATTCATCTCATTTATTTAACAAACATTTACTGAGCTTCTAGTATACACTAGGTACTGCAGCAATGCTGGAGATACAAATGTGAACAACACATGAATTGTAACACCAAGATGTAAAGAATCTTCATTGCCTCTTTCTTGACTCCTGCCTCAGAAAGAGAAATATTTCTAACTCCTTTTAAAAGATAATTATTCCACTCGTACTATCTACTCTGAGTTTCCTCTCCTCTTGCAACAAATATGTCCAAACCTCTCTATCCCAAAAAGACACCATCATCAATCTCCTGAAAGGTAATCAATACACTTATGAGGGTCAAATCCCACAGCCTTTCAAAGTCTTCTTCCTAATCCACAGCATGAGACACAGCCCCCTCTCCCCATCCTGAAACGCTCTCTCCTTCGCTGACTCTTCTCTTCGTTCCTCAAATTTAGGCATTTTTCTAAAGTTCACTCATTTACTTCCATAGGTACGACCTCTGTGGTGAAGATATACAAATCTACATCTCCAAACACAATGTCTCTCCTGAACTAAACCCCTGAATTTCCAAAAGCAGCAGGCACGTAAGTAAAATATTTTGGTTTTGTACAACTCTTCACATGGCCATCCTCCTCTCCCCCAAAACTGAAAAATTATCTTTTTTGTTCCTCTAGTATTTTTAAATCATTTGTTTTATGCTACAGATATACAAAAATTTACTCATATTGAAAAATTATTTTTGACAAGGTATTTTCCTCATATAGGTTGATTTATGACACTTACAATTTGCTTTCTGAAAGGGTTAACTTCTCTTTAAGTAGCTGAATTTCTGTATCCTTCTCATGGGAGGTTAAATGAGAATGAAATTCTTTATCTCTATTTGTAGCCAACAATGATTCAAGGTTTTTAATTGTATGTCTCTCACTTGACAGTTGTTTTTTTAACAGCTCTGATTCTGATTTTACATTTTCTAATTCCACCACAACCTAGAGAAAACACAAAGTAAGATGACCTCAGTACAATTTTAGACTTACTCTGAAAAATTATCTGCAGAGCTATATATACATGAGTTGCTTCATTTTGGGTACCAGTTAAAGATTTTAAAGCACTTCTTCAAGTATAAGAAAAACACCTTATTTTCAAAACAATCTTTGCTATTTTTATAAAGGCTTATTTGTCTATAAGGCCTACTCCAACCTGCAAACAGTTTTCTCTCATACTACCTTGTCAAGAGAGGGTCCTTAACATAAAATCCTAAAACGTGGCCACCCTATCAGCAAGAATGCCCTTCTGGTCTGTTAAACGTGTGTACTCTGCCTATATAGTCAAGCCAGTACTGGAGCTTCTCAGTATCTGATAATAAAGATACTACTAAATACTACTACTAAAAGTGAAAACACCCATGTTTGAAAACATACACTGAGTTGTTTAAAGCAATGCTTCAGTTTGGGAATGCTAAGTCCCAGCTAACTAGACTTTTAAAATTAAGTAAGATTTAAATGCCTTGAGATTTTTATTACAAAAAATACTCCACTTAGGAAGCAATGAACTGCTCAATCCTTCTCTTAAGTCTTCCACTTAAACAGAGAAAGAATGTATTGGGATTGCTCCTATTCATAATTGCAAGACTCAGATTCTCCTAAATACCCATCTACTCCAAAACAGACAGCACTTAATATCATCCCTATGTTTGCCAGAGAAATTTTGGCAAAGAAACCACTCTAAAGGGGAACAAATATATTGGGTAGTGAACAACAAAGTGAAACAATTTGAGTAGGGCTCAATAAAACAATGTGCCACGACAATATCTTTTAAGTTCTTACCCTCTCAAACTCAAGGTTTTTGGAATTCAACTGTTGGGTCATAATATCTTTGCCTGAGTCAAGCTTAATGCAAAGTTCTCTGAGGGACGACAAATCATTTAGTACAGCTGCTTTCTCCTCCTCTTGATGTCTCAGCTCTCCTTCTAACCTGGATATGGCTTTTGCCATTGATGAGATCTGAGATTCATATGCATGATGGGCATTTATGTGCTGAAAATAGAAAAAGAAACAGGTAAAAAGTTAAAGTAACCCAATAATTTTAAAGGCTTAAATCTGTGCAGCCACAACTTCACTTTACAAAATATGAGAGCCAATTTTTGCATATTTTAAGATACTCTCAGGAAGTTGCCTGCTATTTAAAGATGGCCTATTTAACGCTTAACAAAATGAATTGTATGTAATTATTGATCATGGTAACTAAGTACCTCATGTATATATTTGGAAGATGCATAGCTGAAAACTGTTTTAGGGTGTTACAAATATGAGAGATCTTTGAAGTTATATTAAATTTTTCCTTTATAAATTCTGTTATAATAATGCCTTTTCAAGAAAAAGTAATATATATACTTATCACTCAACTGTCTTCACTTAATTTTTTTTTTTTGCTGAGGAAGATTTGCCCTGAGCTAACATCTGTGCCAATCCACCTCTATTTTGTATGTGGGTCATCACCACAGCATGGCTGCCGCCCAGTGGTGTAGGTCTGTGCCCCAGAACCAAACCTGGGCCGCGGAAGCAGAGCGCACCGAACTTAATCACTAGGCCACGGGGCCGGCCCTGTCTCTAGCTAAATTCTGAATTTCAAAACCAGAGTTTGCTTTAAAACTAAATACAGTAGTCCTCCCTTATCTGCAGTTTTGCTTTCTGAGGTTTCAGTTACTTGTGGTTAACTGCAGTCCGAAAATATTAAATGGAAAATTCCAGAAATAAACAATTCATAAATTTTAAAGTGCACACAATGCTAAGCAGTGTAATAAAATCTTGTGCTGTCCTGCTCCATCCCACCTGGGACATTAATCATCCTTGTCCAGCATATCCACATTGAATACCTTACCTGCCCATTAGTCACTAGGTAGCCATTTTGGTTATCAGACTGACTGTCACAGTATCGCAGTGCTTGTATTCGAGTAACCCTTATTTTACTTAATAATGGCCCAAAGCACAAGAGTAGTGATGCTAGCAATTTGGATATGCCAAAGAGAAGCCACAGACTGCTTCCTTTAAGTGAAAAGGTGCAAGTTCTCAACTTAATACAGAAAGAAAAACTATCATATGCTGAGGTTGCTAAGATCTATGGTAACTTTTGTTACAGTATATTGTTGTAATTGTTCTATTTATTATTAGTTATTGTTATTAATATCTTACTGTGCCTAATTTATGAATTAAACTTTATCATAGGTATATACATATAGGAAAAAACATAGTATATATAGGTTAGGTACTATCCATGGTTTTAAGCACCCACTGGGGGTCTCGGAACATATCCTCCTCAGATAAGAGGGGACTACTGTACCCGAAGTCATATTTAAATTCAGTTTAACCTAATAGTAATAAACAACTTTATAAGATTTTAATAACTGAAATAATGAGCAAAGTTTGAAATACTGATAAATATATTTTTCCTAGAATAATCCATATTTTAAATTTCTCACAATTTAAATTGTGAATGATAAATACAAACTGATATAAACTCTACTTCTACGGTTTAGGAAGAATTCCACACTTGAAAAATAAAATTAGGGCTGGCCCTGTAGCATAGTGGTTCGGTTCGGTGTGTTCCACTTTGGCAGCCCGGGTTCGTGGGTTTGGATCCTGGGTGTGGACCTACACCACTTGTCAGCCATGCTGTGGCAGCGACCCATATATAAAGTACAGGAAGACTGTCACAGATGTTAGCTCAGGGCTAATCTTCCTCAGCAAAAAATAATAATAATAACTAAATAAAAAATAAAAATAAAATTATTTTAATAGGCTTTACTGAAATGAATCAACACTAAAAATCTAATGCTGTGCTATGACAATTTAATAAATTTCAACAATTGCAGAAAAGTAAATTTAATAAATTTGAACAATTGCAGAAAAGTAAATATTTGGATTTTCCAAATATTAATGAATTAATTAAATCAAAGTCCCCAAAACAAACTAAATATGTAAAATTTCATATACCACATAAGAACATGAAAAATGACAAATAACAAAAGAACTAAAGAATAGTTTCTCCTGAGAACTCTTTTGAAGGTTGAAAAGCATTCCTTTATTTATTATACTCCAAAATATATAAAGAACTCATACAACTTAATAACAAACAATTCAATTAAAAAATGGGCAGAAGATCTGAGTAGACAGTTCTTCCAAAGAAGACATACAGATGGCCAACACGTGCATGAAAAGATGCTCTACATCACTAATGATCAGGGAAATGCAAAGCAAAACCACAATGAGATATAACTTCACATCTGTTAGAATGACTACAATCAAAAAGACAAGAAATAACAAGTGTTGGTGAGGATGCAGAGAAAAGGGAACCCTTGTGCACTATTGGTGGGAATGTAAATTAGGGCAGCCACTACGGAAAACAGTATGGAGGTTCCTCAAAAAATTAAAAATAGGAATACCATATGATCCAGCAATCCTACTTCTAGGTATTTATCCAAATGAAATGAAAACACTAACTCGAAAAGATATCTGCACCCCCATATTCACTGCAGCATTACTTACAATAGCCAAGACATGGAAACACCGTTAAGTGTCCACTGATGGATGAATGGATTAAAAAACTTTGGTGTAAATATATAAAATGGGGTATTATTCAGCCACAAAAAAGAATGAAATCTTGCCATTTGTGACAACATGGATGGACTCTGAGGGCATTATGCTAAGTGAAATAAGTCAGAGAAAGACAAATACCACATGATCTCTCTCATATGTATGGAATCTGGAAAAAAAAAAAAAAAAGCAAGCTCAAAGATACAGAGAACAGATTGGTGGCTGCCAGAGGCAGGGGAGTGGGTGGGGTGGGAGAAATGGGTGAAGGGGGTCAAAAGGTAAAAAAGAAAAAAAAAATTGTATCTCTTTTACATACTATATATAAAAAAAAACTTATAGTGTATTAGTTTCCTAGGACTGCTGCAAGAAATTACTGCAAATTACTGGATGGCTTAAAACAACAGAAATTTATTCCCTTACAGTTCTGGAGGTTATAAGTCTGAAATTTAGATGTTGGCAGAGTTAGCTTCTTCTGGAAGTTCTGAGGGAGAATTTGTTCCATGCCTCTCTCCCAGCTTCTGGTGGTTGCTGGCAATCCTTGATGTTCCTCGCCTTGTAAACATACCACTCCAATCTTCATCTGGCATTCTCCCCTGTGTCTTCTGTGTCCAGATTTATATTATAAGGATACCAGTCATTGGGTTATGGCCTGCCCTGGTCCAGAATGACCACATCTTAACTGGATGACACCTGCAAACACCCTATTTCCAAATAAGGTCACATTGATAGGTGCTGGGGGATAGGATTTCAACATATCTTTTTGGGGACTGTAATTCTACCTTCCCTCTGGCTCCCCAAAATTCATGTCCTTCTCAAGTACAAAATACACTCACTCCGCTCCAACGTTCTAGCATCAACTCTGAGTCCAGAATCTCATTTAAGCATCATCTAAATCAGATAGGGTAGGACTCTGGGTATGGTTCACCCTAGGGCAAAATTCCTCTCCCTCCACAGATCTGTGACATTAGAAAACAAGTCATCTGCTTCTAAAATACAATGGTGAGACAGGCATAGAATAGACAGCTCCATTCTGAAAGGGAGAAAACAGAAGGAATAAAGGGGTTACAAGTCCAAAGTAAGTTTGCAACCAAGCAGGGCAAATTCCATGAGATTTCAAGGCCCAGTGTCTGTTCTTGGATGCTCTGTCCTCTGGGCCTGCTAGAGTGGCCCCACTTTTTGGCCCTTGGCTGCAGCCCCACTCTCTTGGCCCTCAGTGGCAGTGGTCCTACCCTCTGGAACCAAGGAGGCAGTAACCCCATGCCCTGAGTCCATGTCCTCTGGGCCCGTGGTGGCAGCAGCAGCCCCATCAGCCTTTGAGCTGCCCTTGGCAGCCCAGCTGGTCTCTGAGCCATCTTCAGAGTCATTCTTCCCTTTTCTTGAAGAATATGTTTGTAGCCAAGTAACTCTACTGGCCTGTTTTCTGCTAGCAGGAGCCCAGTTCAACAGCCTTCCTTCATTTCATCCTGTTTCTGTCCCTTTCAGTCCAAGCCGGCAGCTTCTGCTAAGATGACTGATTGGATCCATGAGTCACACACCTAATCTCTTCACCAGGAGGTTGCTCAGCCACTCTTGGCCCTATCTCCAGAGCACATTATCTGGATAGGCTAAGAATTTTTCAAATCATCAAGTCCTGGTTCCTTCTTTGCTTAGCAGTTTCTTCCCTAATTTATCTCTTTCCTCTACATTTTACTATCTGCAGCAAGGAGAAACCAGGCTGTGTCTTCCAATTTGCTTGGAAATTTCCTCAGCTAAATATCCAAGTTCATCACTTATAAGTTCTACTTTCCTCCCAAGAGCATACCATAATTCAGCCAAGTTCTCTGCCATTTTATAACATGAATCACTTTTCCTCCAGTGTCCAATAACATGTTCCTCAATTCCACCTGAGACCTCACTAGAAGAAACATTCATATTTCTGGAAAAATTCTGTTCATGACAATTTATATATTTTATAAATGATAGAAGTTTTCTCTACAGCTGTCCTTTCTTTTTTCTGAGACTTCACCAGAACCGCTTTTAATGTCCATCATTCTATCAACAATCTTTTCAAGGCAATCTAGGCTTTTTCTATCAAGCACCTCAAAATTCTTCCAGACCTTATCCATCACCCAATTCCAAAGCCACTTTCACATTTTTAGGTTTGTTACGCCTGCATCCCATTTCCTGGGACCAAAATCTGCATTAGTTTCCTAAGGCTGCCATAACAAATTACACAAACTGGGCAGAAATTTATTCCCTCATGGTTCTGGAGACCACAAGTCTGAAATCCAGGTGCTAGCAGGATTGGTTCTTTTTGGAGGTTCTGAGGGAGGGACTGTTCCATGCCTCTCCTAGTTTCTGATGGTTGCTGGCAATCTCTGGCATTCCTTAACTTGTAGACATATCACTCCAATCTCTAACTATCTTCACATGGTGTTCTCCCCTGTGTCTTCTGTGTCCAAATCTCCCTCATGTTATAAGGATACCAGTTACTAGATTAGGGTCCACCCTAATCCAGTATGACCTCGTTTTAACTTGATTATATTGGTAAAATATATATATATATATACGGATTATATTTCCAAATAAGGGCACATTCAGAGGTATCAGGGGTTAGGATCTAAATATATCTTTTTGGGGGCCATAATTCTGCCTACTATGGATAATCAATACTTTCTCCTAAAAAATGAACACTACAATACTATACCAACAAAACAAAACTAATAGCCAACTATTTTATATCAATCTAACTTAGGGTTCCTATATTTTAACTGAACTCAAAATTCTACTGAGATTTTTATTAGACCTGTCTGTATGACAAAAGCTTATTTAAATCCACATGCAAAAGAATGAAGTTGGAGGGCCAGCCCGGTGGCGTAGCAGTTAAGTGTGCGTTGCTCTGCTTCGGCTGCCCGGGGCTCGCAGGTTTGGATCCCGGGCGCACACTGACGCACCACTTGTCAAGCCATGCTGTGGTAGAGCCCCATATAAAGTAGAAGAAGATGGGCATGGATGTTAGCCCAGGGCCAACGTTCCTCAGGAAAAAAAAAAAGAGGACTGGCAATGGATGTTAGCTCAGGGCTAATCTTCCTCACAAAAAAAAAAGAAAGAAAGAAAGAAAGAAAGAAAAGTTGGACACTTACCTTATACCATATACAAAAATTAACTCAAAAAAGATTAACAGACTGGAACATAAGAGTTAAAACTATAAAACACAGAAAAAAATAGGGGAAAAGCTTCATGGCATTGAATTTAGCAATGATTTCTTGGATATGACACCAAAAATAAAGGCAACAAGAGAAAAAATAGATAAGTTGGACTTCATCAAAATTAAACACTTTTGTACATCAAAGGATAAAATGAGTGAAGTGGAAAGCCACAGTTTGAGAAAAAATATTTACAAATCATACATCTAATAAGGGATTAATATCCAGAACATATAAGCAATTCCCACAATTCAACAACAAAAAACAACCTGATTAAAAAATGGGCAAAGGATTTGAATAGGCTTTTCTCCAAAGAAAATATACAAATGGCCAATAAATACAAAAAAGATGCTCAACATCACTAATCATTAAGGAAATGCAAATCAAAACCAAAATGAGATACCATTTTGCTACCAACTGGGATGGCTATTATTCAAAAAAAAAAAAAAGAAGTGTTGGCACGGATGTGGAGAAATTGGAACCCTTACATCACTGGTGGGAATGTAAAATGGTACAGCCCTTATGGAAAACTATACGGTGGTTCCTCAAAAAATTAAACATAAAATTACCATATGACCCAGCAATTCCACTTCTGAGTATACCCTAAAGAACTGAAAACAAGGATTCGAAGAGATATTTTGCACCCATGTTCATAGCAGCATTATTCTTTTTTTTTTCTTTTGTGAGGAAGGTCAGCCCTGAGCTAACATCCATGCCAATCCTCCTCTTTTTTTTTTTTGCTGAGGAAGACAGGCTCTGAGCTAACGTCTATTGCCAATCCTCCTCCTTTCTTTTCCCCAAAGCCCCAGTAGATAGTTGCAGGTCATAGTTGCACATCCTTCTAGTTGCTGTATGTGGGACGCGGCCTCAGCATGGCTGGAGAAGCGGTGCGTTGGTGCGCGCCCGGGATCTGAACCTGGGCCACCAGTAGCGGAGCGCGTGCACTTAACCGCTAAGCCACGGGGCCAGCCCAGCAGCATTATTCTTAATAGACAAAGGTGGAAACAAATCAAATGTCCATTGACAAATGAATGGATAAACAAAATGTGGTATATACGTACAATGGAATATTATTCAGCCTCAGAAAGGACTGAAATTCTGACACATGCTACAACATGGATGAACACTGAGGTTAAGTGAACCTTAAGGCTAAGTGAAATAAGTCAACAACAAGTCAAATATTGTATGACTCCACTTATATGAGGTATATGGAGCAGTCCAATTCATAGAGAGAGAAAGTAGAATGGCGGTTGTCAGAGGCGAGGGGAGGGGAGAAGGAGGAGTTAGTGTTTAATGGGTATAGAATTTCAGTTGGGGAAGATGAAAAAGTTCTGGAGATGGAGAGTGGTAATAGTTGCACAACAATGTGAATGCACTCATTGCCATAGAACTGTACACTTAAAAATGGTTAAAATGGTAAATTTGATGTTATGTATATTGTACCACAATAAAAAAGAAGTAATGAGGCTCCTAAACAAATTATTAGAATTAATGACAAAAGATTACCATTGAACTTGATTTTATCAATGCTTAAACCTCACTGTAATAAGGTATCTTCGAATGTTTTCTGTTTCACTAAATAATGTCTTCACAAGACAAATGAACGTATTACCTCAAGGCAAATGAACGTATTACCTCCTGAATTTCTTTTTCTAACAGATCCACTCTTTCTCGAAGGTGTCTCCTCTCCGTGTCAATAGAAAGAAGCTCCAGTCGAACTGAGCTGCTTTCTCCCTCAGCTTGATGGGCTTTGACTTCCCAGTCTTCAGCACGGTTATGAAGCATCTGAAATCTATCTAACAAGTCTTGATTTTCTTTTTCCTAGTTTAAACATAATTAAATTGTTTCTAAATTAGTAATTGTCACACTTTGGAATACCCATGTCATAAACATAGACACACATTGGGATTTTTGTTTTAATTTAGGAAGCATAAGCTAACTGGGCAGATATATACTAAGTAAGATCTGAGGAGAAACATAAAAAAGATAGTAGGCAAGAGCTCCACCCTCATATCTTAACACCTAATAGAGCGGACAGAATAGAGAAACATGAAAAAGTTAAAAAAAATCATTCTTAAATCCAACCTAAGTGTTTTTCACCTTAGCAGCCATTAAGCTCTCCCATCGTGACACCTCAGTTATGTAATTATGAACTCTACTCTTCATTTCTTCTTTTTCTTGCACTGCTGCTTCCAATTCTAATGAGATTTCCTATAAATCAGAAAATTGAAGACAAATCTAAAATGAACATAGCACCTAGTGAGTTCTATTTATATTCATATAGCTTCTTTTGAATTTGGGGAATAAGAGAGAGTAGGAAAACAGGAAAACTATTCCTCAGTGTCATTTTCACATATTTTTCTTGACTGATCTAGATTTTTTTTTTTTTTGGTGAGGAAGATCAGCCCTGAGCTAACATCCATGCCAATCCTCCTCTTTTTGCTGAGGAAGACTGGCCCTGGGCTAACATCTGTGCCTATCTTCCTCCACTTTATATGGGATGCCGCCACAGCATGGCCTGACAAGCAGTGCATCAGTGCGTACCTGGGATCCGAACCCGGGCCGCCAGCAGGGGAGTCTGCGCACTTAACCGCTGTGCCACAGGGCCGGACTCTGATCTAGGTTTTTAACCAAACATCTCCCACAACAGTCCTCACAAAATACCTGATATTTACATTAAGGGCTAGCTATGCTCAGGTGCTGACATTCTTTTTTAAATTCATATATCAGCAATATGCTTTACACTGAATAATACTGAAAGTAATTTTTTTTAAAACATAAAATATTTAAAATAGGAAAATCAGGGCCGGCCCCATGGCTTAGCGGTTAAGTGCGCGCGCTACGCTATCGGCGGCCTGGGTTCGGATCCCGGGCGCACACCGATGCACCACTTCTCCGGGCATGCTGAGGCCGCGTCCCACATACAGCAACTAGAAGGATGTGCAACTATGACATACAACTACCTACTGGGGCTTTGGGGGAGAATAAAAAAAGGAGGAGGATTGGCAATAGCTGTTAACTCAGAGCCGGTCTTCATCAGCAAAAAGAGGAGGATTAGCACAGATGTTAGCTCAGGGCTGATCTTCCTCACAAAAAAAATAAATAAATAAAATAAAATAAAATAAAATAGGAAAATCATTGGTCTTCTTGGTATATCCTTTAATAAACCAGCACAAACAAAACCAATACCTTTTAGCATTTGCCATTCTAAAATATTCATTCATTTTCTTACAGGTATATCTCTAATCCACTGGAGGTAAGTACGAATAATTAAAATCTGTCAAGGTTCTTTTTTTTTTTGTGAGGAAGATTAGCCCTGAGCTAACATCCATTGCCAATCCTCCACTTTTTGCTGAGGAAGATTAGCCCCGGGCTAACATCCGTGCCCATCTTCCTTCACTTTATATGGGACGCCACCACAGCATGGCTTGACAAGCGGTGCGTCGGTTCGCTCCCGGGAGTTCCGAACTTGGGAACCCCGGGCCGCCAAAGCAGAGCACAGGAACTTAACCGCAGGCTATGCCACCGGGCCGCCCCCTGTCAAGGGTTTTTAAAACATTGCAATTTTGCCCTGGGAGTGAAGCTGAGGTTCTCACTCAATATGGTGACAATGATTTCCGCCATAGAGAATACCATGCTCCCAGCTTTAGGATTCCTTGCAACAAAGACTAAAATTTGAAGAGACCACAGTTGCACCCATGAGACACACTGTATTACACAGCAGCATTCTAAACCACATTTTTAATACCCTTATGAACACTATTCTCCTTAAATAATTATTTCTTATGTTGCTGATATTTATATCAAAATTCAGAAAACATATTTAAAGCTTTAAAATTTAGCAAACAATGAATATACTGTAAGACTGTGTACTATAAAACTATCAAAGTTTATGCATTTTGCTCATACCTGGTTTTCTCTTGCCATTGTAGCCAGATCATCTTGTAATCTTCTGTTTTCCTTAAAAGATATTTCTTTAGATCTTCCTACTTCATCAAGTTCTTTGTGAGCTGCATCAAGCTGGCGCCGGAGGCTGCTTATCTCTCGGTCCCGATTAGTCAACATTTCCTTTAGCTGGCTGTTACATGAGTGATGTGGAAATAATAAAGAAAGCTTTTTGGGAAATTGTAATTTGTTTAAAAGAAAACTGTTGTACTCTGAATTAAATACACTAAGAATACAAGAAATTATAACTACTGCATTAAGACAATGATTAATTAGGTAAGGCAGATGTTTTAGATAGATCTCTATCAATCATTATGTGCAAATGAAGTCATAAAATAAATTTATTATTCCAAAAGTCAAGTAAAAACAGACAACTATCAAGTGTTAGGGGCAGAACATCATGGATTCAATTGGCAAATATTTATTTAATGTTTAGGTCTCCACTATTACATAATATGTAAGGGTATATAAAATAATTAGTGACCTTTGTTTAGAAGTAGACAGACTAGACACAAAATGTAAGATTCTGTAACAGTGTTCAAGACAGAATAATTGATGAGACATAACTGTTTAGATGTGGATGATAGAGGAAGGGGAGAAAGTTAGAGAGAATAACATTTTCATGCAGGAGACTGAGAAAATGAAGCTGCCAGTGGCAAAAACAGAAAAATTGAAAAAGGAAATTTTCCTATTGCCAGATTGCTACGTAAACAGATGAAGCTGCATCCACTGAAAATTCTTAAAAAGCTAGATGCCATTTCACTGATTACTTACCTCATAGAAGATTCATACTCTGAGACTGTTATCTTCATCTGAGCAATAGCTTTTTCCTATAGAAATTATAAAAGTATATAAGATTTTAAATCATTCATATAGAAATGTCTTCAGTTGAAATCATATAATTTATCACATTTATATAGTTCAAATCCAATTATATAAATTATGCTATAAAAGAGCTCTCCAGGTAAACATATTTCCATGCGTCAACTGTACTTCACATATTGCCATGTTTCTACCCCCTCTAAGGACTTGAATTGTTTCCTTGAATTTGCTGTAATCACACCTGATAAAATTATATTCTAGAAATAGAACTTCTGAAGATTCAAATTACTAGGATAAAATGAAATTTAAACATATGAGAAGATATGGCCCTCGGTCTTAGGAACTTGTACATGGGTGATAAGAACTGCATATTTGAAACAGAGAATAAAATAATCTTTTCTGTTCAGAAGCTGAATAACGATATTTAACAGTCACATACTTTATTAGCTAGGTTTTCTTGCAAGTTTGCAATCTTTTCCGTCTTCTCATCTACAGTCTCCTGAAGAAAGTCTTTTTCTTTATCAATAACACCAATGGTCTTCTTCATTACATGAGCCTCTTCATCCTGTGAAGTCATCTTAAGGTGTAGTTTACCTATAAATGAAAAGAAATGTTTGTTAGACAACGTTAAGCTAGGATTAACAAAAACAAAATTTAAAAACATTTACCTATTTTTTCCTCCAGTATTTTAATTTGCGCTTCGGCCGATTCAAGTTCATCTCTTTTTATGGAAAGTCGGTGCTGATAATCATCAACTGACTGCTGTAGCTGCTCATTTACTATCCTAAAGAATCAGCAGACAAAAACAAACGGTATTCTTTATTTCTGGTAGAAATAATTTTTTAAAAATGAGAGATCTTAAAAAATATTTTTCTTATATTTAAAGGTTTTATTTCTTATTTTAAAGCTCTTCCAGTATAATCAATGGCATTATATTATATATTATTTCTTGCTGTCCACCATTCTTCTTCAAATGGTTCTATCTTCCTAAAAATAATATAGTATAAAAATCATATTAATTGGATACTCTTTTTCTAGAGGCTTCCTGATAGTTTTAAAGCTCTTCTCAATTTCCTAATACCAACTCTCTTTCTCTTAAAATCTATTTCTATTAGAGAAGACAAAGGGAAAGTCTTGTTTTTACAGTATGGCCTGGCACCGTATAGGATTATCCATAAATCCTGACCAAACTGTCCAGAGCTTTTAATTTTTCTTCCTATTCTGACATTTTTGGTGGGTAGTCAACTGGAGGTCACAGTAAACAGGGAAAGCAGGCATTTAGTGTAGTGCAATGAGGATTTAAGACTAAAGATTGGTTTCAGGGAGCAAAAGAAAGGACATACAGAGGAAATAGAGACAATTTCAGAGGAATCGCTTACTGATCGCTCAGATTATTTTCCAGAAGTAACAAGAATTTGCTTTCATGTCATCTAGAGTCTTTGGAATGCTTTTAGCCCTGACCTAAGAGTTGTTAATCCTGCCTTGCTGGAAAAACATGGCTCTCACCTCAGGCTATTTATTGGGAACTCCCACAGGTTCCTTTGGGTTTGAGGATAAAACAGGGAAGAAGACACCAAAGGTGGCTTAACTTAGAACTACCTAATGGGGAGGAGGTTTGGATTCTGAAGCCACTAGTAAGATGAGACATCTCCAGAGAAACGAAGATTTACTGGCAATACTGAAGTATTCTGAAAGACATACCTTACATGGAATAAGAAATGCCTGATGTCCAAGCTGGATTTCGAAAAGGGAGAGGTACACAAGATCTAAGTGCGATTATTCATTGGCTACTGGAGTGCTCCAAAGAATTTCAGAAGGAGGCTAGTCTATGTTTCATAGACTACTAGTAAAGCCTTTGACTGCATGGATCATGAAAAGCTATGGGCTACTCGGAAAGAAATGCACGTGCATCAGCATTTGACTGTCCTGATGCATAACCTAGATTATAGACAAGAAGCCACCGTCAGGACAGAATACGGAGAGACAGAATGGTTTCCTACAGGCAAAGGTGTCAGAGAAGGGTGCGTTTTATCTCCCTATCTGTTTAACCTGTATGCAGAACACATCATATGAAAAATTGGGCTAGACTCAGACAAAGGCAGAATGAAAATTGGTGGAAGAAATGTCAACAATCTAAGATATGCAGATGATCCCATCTTACTGGCAGAAAGCAGCAATGACTTCAAAGACTTGAAATGACTTCTGAGGAAAGTGAGAGAACAAAGTGCCAAAGTAGGACTGCATCTGAACACCAAGAGGACAAAAATCATCACCACAGAAGAACTACACAACTTTAACACAGATAACGAAGACACTGAAATTGTTAAAGGTTTTGTTTACCTTAGTTCACGTCACCAATTTACATGGAGACTGCAGCCAAAAAATCAAGAGAAGACTGCGACTTGGAGGGGCAGCAATGAAAGAATTAGGAAAGATCAAGTGTAAGAAGGTGTCATTAGAGATGCAGGCCAAGATTATCCACACCCTTGTGTTTCCAATTACTATGTACGGGTGTGACAGTGAAGGCTGACAGAAAAAAAACTGATCCATTTGACATACCGTGTTGGAGGAGAGCTCTGCAGATACCCAGGACTGCCAGAAAGACAAACGAGTGGGTCGTAGAGCAAATTAAGCCTGAACTATCACTGGAGGCAAAAATGATAAAACTGAGGCTGTCCTACTATAGGCACATCAGGAGAGAAGGCAGGATTCTTTGGAAAAGACAATTACGCTGCGGAAAGCAGAAGGCAGCAGGAAAAGAGGAAGACCAAATATGAGATGGATTGACTCCATAAAGGAAGCCATAGGCATGAGTCTACAGAGCTGAGTAGGGCTGTTGAGGATGGGACTTTGTGGACAGCACTCATTCACGGCGTTGCCAGGAGTCGGAGCCAATTAGACAGCATGTTACAACTCAAAGACAAAAGATATTACCCTGACTGCTCTAATAGCAAGTGAATGATGACCCAGAGGGAGGGAGGAAAGTCAAGTTGAGACTGACGTCTTTAGAACTGCACAACCAAACAGAACCAAGTCAGAAAGACTCTAGGTTCAAGGATTTTACTTCATAAAATTATCTGAGAGGTCCAGGTGACTTTACTGTATTTAAGCTGTTCCTAAAAGCTACAGCTATTGCTCTAAGAGATATAACTACAGGGAATGGAGAAAGAAGAAAGCTAATATTCATTGTATTGATACTTTATAAACATTAGCTCATTTATTCCCAGAACAGTTCCATAATTAGGACTATTATCCCAATTTTATAGAAATAAATAACTAATAACTTGTTCAAGGGGACAATGCTATTAAGGCAAAGAAAATATGCAAATCTAGGCTAGTCTAACCTGGCATCAATGTTTTTCTACTACATCACATTGCCTTCTATGAAGAATTCAGGGAGACCAGCATCCCTCTATGTGGAAGAGAAATGTCTGCCAGTAAGCTATAGGGTCCTTTCAAAAATGGAATGGCCCAGAGAGTCTCTAATGAAGGACACTGAGAAGTTGGCAGTGCTTGAAATCCTAAGTATAAGTGTAAAGATCTCTTTACACCTAAGTTCACAAGAAGGATTAATTCCTAACAACAGCAGGATTGATAAAGGAAGGCAGGATAACATCTTGATTGATTATACATATAAATTAAGATCTTAGTGAGTCCTAAAAATAGCTTTACCTTTTCATATTCTAGTGTAGACAGGGAAGGGGACAACAGAGATTCCATACCAGACCTCGGACGTACCTTTTCTGACAGAAGTATTGTTGCTAAGATAAAGGTCTTCTTAATGAAAGAATAGAGGCATAAAGTTCATAGGAAACAGTCGCTGAGTGATTATTATATTATTTGTTCATCATGGTGTTTGAAGAGGAAGTTTTGAGAACCTTTTGAGAAAAGTTCTTAGGAAAAATGAACCAATTTTGTAGCTTTGAAAGTGCCATAAACAGAGAAAAGGGAAGTGATGACTTCACACCAAAGTGAAGCAATAAAACTTAACTTCAGAATCAAAGTTCTAGCTTTCTATCTCCCAGCCATGTGGCTGGATAGGACCATCTCTCTGAGCCTCCAATTCATGTTATATTACATTACATGGAGGTATGCGTGTTTTCATTTTAGGGGGCAAAAGTAATTCCTTTCAGGATTCAGTATATTTTAAACAAAGTCAGCATCTTTAAGGGTCCTTTATTCATAGGAAGTGTTCAAGTTCTAAAATGAAGTTGAAGCTCCATCTGAAAGGGGTAGGTTTGACATCTGAATGGCCTTTTAGAGGAAAGAGCGACCGATATGGTATCCCTGTACTGTGTGAGATATCTCCAAGAGTCTACGGTTACGGCCCACCACTAACTGAGACAGCCTATTATTAAGTATCATCGCTTGGTGAGCCAGAGAGGGGAAAAGGGATCAGGATTAGCTTTTCTTTCACCTTTCTGCAAAGGGATGATGACTGGTATCCGGGGGCCCTAGTTCCCTTGGCCCTTTCAAGTCCAGCTCCACGAGCTAAGCTGTCCTCACTTAGGGCCCTGGCTCCTCTTCCTGTCTTGGTAGAAAAATATCAGCATGCCCAGAAGACAGTTCTTAGGCATCCTAAGCAATCTATGAGCTTTCTTTCCCTTACCTAAAATGGTTCTCAATTCCCTTAACAAATAAATACTTCTCAAGGGAGACCAGTTATATTTCCTTTTCTGAATATACCTAGACAAATCCTACTATAACAACTGATAGCTATTGCCATAATAATAAGTCTTAACTAGAGTTTATGGGCCCTTTTCAGGAGAATCTGCTACTGCATTTATTTGATCCTGGATAAGTACATAATCCTCTAGTTTTGAAGAAGATACACAGATAACTAAAGGTGAATTGAAAACCGTATGAGGGTGTTATCAGCTGCAGGAATCTAAATGTTTAGAGCCTCATGGCTAGTGGCTGTGAGGATAATGGCTGTTTACTATGGGGTTGAGAAAAGTTAGTTGTCTAACTGGGCTGGAAACTATCCTCGAACAGGGGTTGGCAAACTATGGCCTGCTACCTTTTTCTGTAAGATTTAAGAGCTAAGAATGGTTTTACATGTTTAAATGATTGATAAAACTTTCCACAGAAGAATATTTTGTGACATTTGAAAATTATATGAAGTTCAAATTTCAGTGTCCATTAAGTTGTACTGGACCACAACTATACTCCCTCATTTAAATATTGTCTATGGCTGCTTTTGTGCTACCAAGACAGGGTTGAGTAGGTGCGACAGAATATGTATAGCCTGCATAGTCTAAAATATTGACTCTCTGTCCCTTTACAGAGAAAGATTACTGACCCTGGCTCTAGAGGCTGGCTAGCAATGCTCTGAGGGACTAATAGACCATTGTTCCTGGGTAGAGCAAAACTGCTTTATAGCATTATGGAGTTTTGATTTGGGGCATAAAATGCCAGGTCTTACCAAATGTTAAAATTCAAGAAAAACAACAGTCATTTGTTTAACGGATGGTTATAAAGTGAGATTCTGTATTATGTCCTCTGGCGCCGCACCAAGAGACCAGACCAAACAGCCTCTATTTGGACAATTAGAGACTGTGCTTGCTGTAGAAAAGACTGGTGGCATTGAAATTTGGTGAAAAATGCCTGACTCAGGAAGGGACAGAGAAGACGGGTAGGTAGATGGAAAGGAACATATATGCTTTATCTATCTGAGTATCAGTTTCTTAAATGTCTTCATGTCAAGGGAAAGAGAACTTGATGTGATTAAAGGAGCAACAAGATCTCTCTTAATCATATGGAAAGTGGCACAAGGTTTGGATAATGTAGCTTTATTTCCACTCTATATATGCAGGCTATACATATTACATTTTGTATTGGGTTCAACTGTGGATTTGGACCTGAAGGCTTGAACTCACGGTTCTACCAAAGTATACTGATAAGGAGAATGTGACTGATACACTTTCCTCAGACAAGATAAGTCAGATTTTTCTGTCAGAGCTAAACAAAGTTATGGAATCATGCAATTTCCTCAGGTTATACAAGGTAGAGAGAAAAATCCTCACAATCCCTTCCTATAACACAGTGACTGAATTGCTCCTAGGTGAGGGAAGTAGCAGACTGAGCTCACAAGAGAAAAGGGTATTAGTAAAACAAAGAAAATACCAAAGGAGCTATAGGCTAGAGGACCCAAGAGAGGGCACTGAAAGCTCTGCCTTCTAAGACTGGAAAGGGCCTCCTGTGAGGAAAGGAAAGGGGAGTTGTGGCTATAGTATGAAGGAAAAAGCAAAATGGATTAAACACCAGATCCAGTCAGCTGGACACAAAAGTTAAAAGGTATGCTAGCAATAGATGACTATTTCTGGGTGAGAGAAATATACCATGGTATCTGTACTTTGGAGCTGAATATAGACATGAACCAGAAGAAGACAGGGTGGTCCATTCAGCTAGCTCTCCATCCTAGGATGTATGTAGTCTTTGCAAAAAAAAAAAAAAAAAAAGAAAGAAAGAAAGAAAAAGGGAAAAAAAGCAGCTTCTACCTTAACTGTTCCTAAAGTCTAACTTATCAAGACTCGTAGTCAGAACGGCAGAAGAGCAAAAATTGGAGATGCCCTATATGAGTCCCTAATTAATACACTATTCCTTAATTAAACAGACACATCCAGCTCTTGGTCTCATTTCATTAAGTTTATTTGATATGAGGGACACCTTATGAATCTAGTCTCAGGCTTTTCTTTTCCTAATTATTCTTTTGATTTTCAATTGCGCTGTTTATTTTACTATAAATTTTCGCAATTCTGTGTTTGTATATTAGATCTGTGTCTCTTTTTCCCTCATCATTTCTTTTTATCATTCTGAGTTCTGAATTCTAGGTGAAATTCTTGAGTTTGTTTTCTATTTCACCAATTCAGTTTTCTGAAATATCCATTCTACTATTAACTAACACTTTCAGTTTTAATTTCTCAATCTTTTTTCAAATCATCATTACTATAATCCTTTCTGATCTCAAGTTGTTACTACTTCATGATTGATTTAGTTTCACATATGCAATGTCACACTGACAGTTGAAAATCTTTTCCTGATTTTACCGCAAATGTAATTTAGAGAGAAGTATTTCCTCTGATTCTTCAGAATGATCCCCTTCTTCTGACCTTCAATATCTTTTTACTTATTGCAGCAACCGAGTCCAGAAAACACCTTTGTCGACTTTTTGTTTCCTTCAGTATTCTGTATTCTAAATTGACGAATGGCTAACCAACGATCTACTCTCCCTAAGGTAAACATTCTGCATTACTGTATCTTTCTCTCATTCTTATATAAGTCATCCAATCCTTTTGATTTTATGAAGAAATTTTTCCTAAATCTGGCCTCTGTTCTCCAAGTTCATTACTACTGTTTTAGTCCAGACACATGGTCTCCACTGTTTGCCATCAGTCTCTTAAGACTCCAAATCCAGCTTCCCTAATTCCGCCAGAGTTCACTTCCCGAAAGGCACGCTGCGCACGTCACCCTCTTGGTTAAAAATTTCTGTTTGTTCTCCATGTTTATAAGGTAAAATCCAAACACACTTGGTTATCATACCAAGTTCTTCATAACCTGACTCCAACCTGTAGATGCAGCTTATTTTTCCATACAGACTTTCTTACCATTTTTCAGGCATATCACCTTTTTAGACTCTGTATATGAATATTCTGATTTTACATTTCTTTGAAAGAGGAAAAAGAAGGACAATGACATAGGTAGCAAAAAAAATTCTGTTGCTTTCAGCAGTCCTACACTATGGAGTACAAATGATCTGAAGGCTCTGTTAGTGAAATTTTTGAAGGTGGCAGGTACAAAAACTGGCCTGCAATCATATCAATCTGTGAAAGTATTAAAAAATACAGATACTCAAAACCTACCCAGATTCACTCAGCAAATAAGAACCTCCAGAGATCAGCCCCTAAATCCATCCTTTTCAAAAGTTCCCCGGGGTGATTCTGCTGCCAGGCCAACTTTGGGAACTAACCACTGAAAGGTCTAGTCCAAAATGCCACTGTAGGGCCGGCCCCGCGGCTTGGTGGTTAAGTGCGCGCGCTCTGATGCTGGTGGCCCGGGTTCGGATCCTGGGTGCGCACCGAGGCACCACTTCTCCGTCCATCCTGAGGCCGAGTCCCACATACAGCAACTAGAAGGATGTGCAGCTATGACATACAACTATCTACTGAGGCTTTGGGGGGGAAAATAAATAAAATAAAATCTCAAAATGCCACTGTTATGAACCTTACACAGCCACAGACTCGTTCCCAGCAGTGAAATAACAAAACTGTCAATAAACTTACCTAAGTGAGTTCAATTCTGTTTTCTGATGAGATGAGTCACCAGCCACATGGCTAAGTTTTTGAGCTTGGAGTATTGCTTTGTTCTCTAATGACTCTATTGTTTCTTCCATTATTAACATTTTAGACTTTAATTCACATTTTTCACTTTCAAGCTATAATTTAAATTTAAAAAATTAATAGGTATATGTCTTAGTTTTGTTTTCCTTAAGCACTCTTTAATAATATTTCTGGAAGAAAATTAAGGAAATAAATTAGATTTATTTAAAATACTTTAAAAGCCAAGTGTATAGTTTAGGTTTTAGATGTCAGAACGAGCATACACATTCATATACATTTATCTCTCCTCCTCAATATCACGGAAATAAAAGAAAAGATACAAAAAAAAAAAAAAAAAAAACAAGCAAGCAAGCAAGGAAGAAAAGAACATATCCCTAACAGCAATGAAAACAGAAAGGGAAACCATTAGCAGGATAAAAATTTTGAGGAATTTCTAAAAAATAATAAATAGGACTGAATTAAAGAAAATTCAGAGCAGAAAATATTGTAACCCAAACACAAAATGGGCAAGACTTATACAAAGAAACTAAAATTTTCCTGAAGGGTAGAAAACATAACCTGACAATGTAAAAAAAAAAACACCATGTTTCTGAATAGGAACACAATATTGGAAATGTATTAAAATTTCCTCAAATAATTGTAAATTCAACGAAATTGCAATAAAAATCTTAACAGAATCTTTTTTAAATAAAAGGGGTGACAGACTTCATTCTAAAATTCATTTAGAACAGGGGCCGGCCCCGTGGCTTAGCAGTTAAGTGCTCGCGCTCCACTGCTGGCGGCCCAGGTTCGGATGCCGGGTGCGCACTGACGTGCCGCTTCTCCGGCCATGCTGAGGCCGAGTCCCACGTACAGCGGCTGGAAGGATGTGCAATGTGACATACAACTATCTACTGGGGCTTTGGGGAAAAAAAAAAATAAAAGTTAAAAAAAATAAATAAATAAAAAATAAAATAAAATTCATTTAGAAGAAAAGAAGGTTAAGAAAAAAACAGGAAAAATTTTTGGGGAAAATAATGCAGGTAGACTTGTTTTATGAAACATCAAAATAAATTAGAAAGCTACTGTAATTAAAACAGTATGGATTTCACATAGAAACGGACAAGCAAATACACATAAAACATGTAAATTTAGAAAAGGTAGCATTTTAGGGAAGTGGGAAAAAAATAAACTCTAAAAACAGTTGGACAGGCACTCATTAGAGAAAAAAATTAGCTAGATTTCTATTTTATTTTACATACAAAAATAAATTCTAGATGGAATAATGATCTATATATAAAATTCAAAACCAAGAAATATTAGTGATAAATGTAAGTCTTCCAGTTAAAACTGCAGACTAACACACATTTTATTTCCCCTCCCGCTGGAAACAGTGCTAAAATGACAATAAAGGAATAAAAAAGTTATACACTCATCAGGACACAGAGAACAAGAAAGAAAATAAGAGTGGACAAGCGACTTGTGGAAAACAGAGTAGATAGAATAGTGACTTAGAGTAGAAGAAAAAAGACAATCGAAAGCAGAGTTTCTGAACCTAGGAACTACTAACATTTAGGGCCAGATAATTCTTTGTTGGGGGCTGCCCCGTGTATTGTACGTTGTAGGATGTTTAGCAGCCTGGTCTCTACCTACTAGATATGAAAAGCACCTTTCCCCTAGTTGCAACAACCAAAAGTTCTCTAGATATTGCCAAATATCTCCTAGGAGGCAGAACTGACCCCAGTTGAGAACCACTGGTCTAAAGTGACCACAACAGGGAATACCCATGAGCAGCCAGCTGATTTACCCTCAAGAAGCTCAGCACATGGAGGCGCCATGTGGTAGGCTGGGGTCAGGAGCAGAATTACACAAGGAGATTGGCTGAGAGTCTATATATTGGAACCCTCACACCCCAGATATTTCCTGCCTCTTTCTAGAAAGTTTTCTTGGAAATCAAAGATATAACTAAAATTTAAAAAAAAAATCAATAGAAGGACTAGAAGATAAAGGAAGAAATCTCTCAGAAAGTAGAACAAAAAGTCAACGAGAAAATAAGAGAGAAAGAATAAGAACCTCAGATCTCTTTAGGAGGTCTAAAACCAACTAACAAAAGTTGTAGAGAGAAAAAATAGAAGAGCACATTACATCACCCAAGAAATTAAAAATAAGAGATAAAGAGAAAATCCTAAAACTTTTCAGAAATAAAAACATGTCATTTACAAAGGACTAAGAAACAGAATAGCATCAGACATCTCAAAGAAAGTTAAAAGACAGTGGAGGACAGTATTCAAATTTTTTAGTGAAAATAATTTTCCAATCTAGATTTCCATACACCTAAGCCAAATCGTAAATCAAGTACAAAAGTTGAAGACAGACATTTTTAGACAAGCAGAGTACCAAAAAATATTTCCTCCCATGAATTCTTTTTCAGGAAATTGCTGGAGAAGGTGCTATACCAGAACAAAGGAACAAACCAAAAAAGAAGAAAACATGAGATCCAACACAGGAGAAGACGACAATGAAAGTCTTATGAGCACAGCTATGGAGAGACACAGTTCACAAGGGAGCAAGAAGACGGAAAGCTCAAGAAAGGTCTTCAGGGGGAAAAAACAGAACCCACAGGTTTGAATGTTCAAAAATATTGAAAAGCATGTGGCAGAGATGTTGGAGTTCTTGACAAAAATGAGCAAAGTGTACAATGAAAACCAAAACAGTAACAAAATGAAACAAAACAAAACAAAACAAAGGCAATTATTAACTTCAGGAAAAAAATTTACAAGAAAAATGGCAAGAGTAGTACTGCTCCTCTTGGCTGAGCCATGAACCACTAGAAGTCATGATGATATAAACAATAACTACTGAAGTAAGCAAAATAAGTAATAAAACTATGTTGAGGTAATGGGGGAAGAAAAAGGGAGGAGTGCCAAGCCATCATCTACCATCACGGAAATTCACCAAAATAATCTTAAATCAATAAAGTAAGATGAAGCAGCATAAGCACATTATTTAGAAACAGGACGGTAAACACCAGGAGAAAGAGTTAAAGAGTTGTGAGTGGTAGTTTTGGGGATACGGAGGTGGGAAACGAAACTGGTTGTTTTTTTTAATTAAAAACCTTTCAGAATTCCTTGGGTATATCTTGTACAAACACCAGTATAAAGAATAAAAAGTGAACATTTGTGCATCCATCACCTGGCTTAAAAAAATATTACACAAACCTTTGAAACTACTTGTGGGTAGTCTCCAATCACATCCTCCATCCCTTGCCCACAGTAACCACTATCCTGAGTCTTGTGCTTCTCACTTCTTCCTTTTCCTTAGTGTACCACATTTGTATGACTCCCTAAATAATATACTGTTCAGGTTTGCATGTTTTTCAACTCTACATAAGTGGAATCATACTGCATGTTTTCTTTAACATTTGTAAGATTCACGCATGTTCATGTTTGTAGCTATTGTTCATTCATTTTCGCTGCTGTATAGTACTCCATTGTATGAATTACCACCATTTATCTATTTTCCTCACAACTGACATCTAGATTGTTTTTCGTTTTCTGCCAGAGAGTAAATATTTTAGCCTTTGTGAGCCCTATGGTCTATTTCCACTACTCTGTTGTAACATAAAAACAGCCACAGGCAATGTGTAAACAAGTGAGCATGGCTGTGTTCCAATAAAAACTTTATTATAAAAGCAGACTGGAGGCCAGATTTGGTCCAGGGGCCATGGTTTGCAGACCTGCATCTAGGGTGCATATCTAGAAACGTAATTGTTGGCTTACAGGGTATGCCTTTGCTAGACAATGCCAAATTATTCTCCGAAGAGGGACCTGTTTGCACTCCCAGCACCTACACATACTCACTAACTTGTTAACTTCTGATGACCTGATGGATGTGAAATGCTTTCACTGTGGTTTTAATTTCTATTTCCCCTATTATCAAGGTAGAACATTTCTTTATGTTTATCAATCATTTGTAATTTCTTCTGCTATAAAGTGTCAGTTCACATTTTCTGTTGTTTTTTTTAGGTTAAATGTGTAGTATAAGCTGTTCTCTCAGTAGCTTGTCTCTTCAACTTTTTTTTTTTTTTTAATTTTTTATTTATTTATTTTTTCCCCCAAAGCCCCAGCAGATAGTTGCATGTCATAGCTGCACATCCTTCTAGTTGCCGTATGTGGGACGCGGCCTCAGCATGGCCGGAGAAGCAGTGCGTCGGTGCGAGCCCGGGATCCGAACCCGGGCGGCCAGTAGTGGAGCGCACGCACTTAACCACTAAGCCATGGGGCCGGCCCTTGTCTCTTCAACTTAACGGCTATTTGATAAACAACATGTTCTTGTCAATGTGGTCCTATGTATCTACGTTTTCTCTAAAGGAACAAACTTATCTGTGTCTTGTTTCAGAGCACACACTCTGACACCAGACACCTGCTAGACACCTGTGTGATCCTGGGCAAGTATCTACCCCTCTGCCTCAGTTTCCTTATCTGTGAAATGAGGCTAATACTAGCATTTACTTCATATGGTTGTTGTGAGAATTAAAATAATACATATAAAATGTTGAGAAAAGTACCTGACACATAGTAAATGCTATAGAAATGATTCTATTATTATTTCTCCAAAGTCGAAATTTTTTCTCCCGTATTTTCTTTTAAAAATTAGTTATTTCTTGAACATTCAAGGCTGCAAATAACCTTGAACTGATTTTTGGGTATAGTATATTTGAAGTAGTCTTCAATCTTTTTTTATATACGTATATATGAAAAGCCAATTGTCTCAGAGACAATTACTGAATAATCTTTCCTTTCCCCATTGATCTGAGTCCTTTATATATCAAGTTTCCATATATTTGTGGGTTTGTGGGTTTGCTCCCTACTGGGTTTTACCATTCTCTCTTAATCCCTGTGCACTACCACCCTATCTTAACTACTGACTTGAAAGCCTTCATATCTGGTATGACAAGTTCACATTTTGTCTTCCTTAAAATTTCTCTGTGATTCTTGATTCCTTGCTTCCATGTATTTAAAATCTATTGTCAATTTTCACACACACACAAACACACACACACACACACACCACCTTCTTAGGATTTCAGCTGGAACTACAATCAACTCTATAGCTCAATGTGGGGGAAAATTTACATTCTTTTTATAAACATGGTATCTGTCACCTTTTTTATAAACCTGATATCTCTCTCCACTTACTTAGGTCTTCTTTAATGTCTTTCAATAAGGTTGCACAATGTTTTCTATAAAGACCCTGCTAATTTTATACATAGGTATCTCGTATTATTTACCTTGTATTTATTATCTTGTATTAAAATAGTATGGATTTTCTTTTTATTTATCTTGCTTGGGATTTGTCATACTACCAAAATTCATTGTGCATTCTGAATCAGAGCACTCCTGTGTTTTTATAACACATAGAAAATTATTAGTCATTATCCCTTCAAATAGTGCTTCTCCCACATTCTATTATATTCTCCTAGAATGTTGACTAAAATATATGTTAGACCTTCTCACTTTATTCTCTAAGGCTTGAACTTATTTTATATTTTCCATCACCTAGTCTCTTTCCAATGCCTTCTAGTACTTCAGATATATTTTCCAGTTCATTAATTCTTGCTTTCAGTTTCAGGGCAAGTTTGAGTGACAGGGATCCCTCTACCTAAAATAACTAAAAAATTAGACAAAATATATGAAACAATGGCTTTCAAGAAACTGGGCATCAGGAAATGATGGAGAGTGACCCCTGAGAGACAAGAAACAAATGAGATGAGCCCCACGATTGCTCCAGCTTACTGCCTGAAGAGTTTCCAGGCTGTGGCATAGGGAAAGGAACCCAAGTGGAGCCCAGTGGTTCCCCTAAGTTCAGAAGACAGGACTAACAGTCAAGGGAGGCCAAGGCAGTTAGAGTTTGCAGGGCAGATACTGGAGGAGAGCTGTACAGAGTGAGAGCTCCAGAGATCTGTAAAGGATGCCTGCTCCTTTACACAGAGAGCTCTGTGCAGAGCTCAGCACAGAGGAAGCTACCCAAGGCCAGGCAAAGTACCATCCAAGAATCAGAGGAACAATATTGAGGGCTCACGCAGGGCCAGGAATAGGTTCTGTTCTCATCAGTCATTTGAAAATTTCATAATTCATGGGACAGCAGCTAGTGTACTCTAAAGGGTTTTATCTCAGTAGTGAAACAAAATTAGTCCAAGACTAAATGCTACTTTGGTCCCACCTAATAAAACTTAAAAACAAAATTGAAAAGGATTAAGCTACTTCCATCTGACTTAACTGTATCCTAGAACAAACCTCAAGAGAATTTATAGGAATACAAGCTATCTAGCAACCAAGAAGATAAAATTCAGCATGTCTGACATCCAACCTAAAGTTATCAGGCACACAAAAAAGCAGGAAAATATGACCCACGATGAGGAGAAAAAAAAAATTAACTGATCCAAAGTTGACAGAAACAGATGATTGAATTAGTAGACAAATAAAAACAATGAAGACATAGTAAAGGAAACTAGCCAAAATGAAACACAGAGAGAAAAAGACTATCAGAACACATACAAAAAAATCCTATCTCAAGGAATGAAAGTGAATTTCACTTTTTATTCTATGTCTGTATTATATGATTTTTAAACAAGAACAAAACAATAACCATAGCTAACACCTATTAAGTGCTTACAACATGCCAGGCCTCTTCTAAGTTCTTCACATGTATTAACTCATTTAATCTTCACAAAAAACCTAAGAAGTAAGAACTAGCACCATTCCTATTTTACAAATAAAGAAATTGAGGGATGGAAAGTTTAAGTAACTTGTCTACAGGTAAGAGTGACAGAGATGGATCTGAACCCAAGTAGTCAGCCTTTAGAGTACATACTCCTAATCACTGTTATACAGCTTCTCTAGCACGCTATTTGTAATTTTAAAAACACATAGTATATTAAAACTATAACTGAAACAGTCATTCATATAACACAATATACCCTAAATCCAGTTTGGTAAATTACCTGGTGATTAACACATGTCAAATGTTCAATAGTTTTCTCTAATTCTGATGTTCTAAAAAGATTCATTTCTCGGAGATTCTGAAAGAGAATTTTATAGAAGATGTTCACTCATTTCAGATAATAAAATTACCAAAGTAAGCAGTGCAAGTCTACAGCAGTACTCTATTTGTCTTTTTATGACACAGAAATGTTTTAGAAAGAAAATCATTATACATTTTACAAAAATGAGCTTTTGGTTGAAAAAAAGCCCAAGAGGTTCTCATCTTTTACACTCTACCTCCACGTGTGACTGTAACAGAAGACACAGATTGGTATGGATTCCTTTATAAAGATTTATACAGATCAATTCATTAGCACAACTATAAAGGGGAAAGTCAGCAGATTAAGCAAGCTCAGGAGTATGCTCACACGAGAAGAGCTGTAAGAAGGACAGAATGTACAGGGAGAAAGGATTAGATCAGTAAGACCCAGGAAACAGAACACTACAGGGCCATGCAAGAGACCAGAGTTTCAAGAATGGGCTGGTCAACAGTGCTAACATAAGTGCTATTGTTTTTGGTTATATTATCTTATCCAACTCTTGCTGATGCTAAGTCTAGGACAAGCGATATAAGCTGGTGTACCCTGAGAATTCTTCTAGCGTGCATTCATACTTCCATCTACATTATTCATTAAAAATAAATAAATAAAGACATCTGATGTGTGGATTGTACATTTGGTTGGAAGAGTCACTGCACTGTATGCATTTTTTCATTTATTAAACCATTCAGCCATTATTTAGCACATGCTATATACCAAGCATCAAGCAAGGTGTTAGGAACACAGTAATCAATAAAATCTCTGACGTCATAGATACTATAGAGTGGTAGAAAAGACAAACCTTAAACAAGACATTAAAATAAAATCCATGGGGCCGGCCCCGTGGCTTAGCGGTTCAGTGCGTGCGCTCTGCTGCTGGCGGCCCGGGTTCGTATCCCAGACGTGCACCGATGCACCGCTTCTCCGGCCATGCTGAGGCCGCGTCCCACGTACAGCAACTAGAAGGATGTGCAACTATGACATAGAACTATCTACTGGGGCTTTGGGGAAAAAATAAAAGGAGGAGGATAGGCAATAGATGTTAGCTCAGAGCCAGTCTTCCTCAGCAAAAAGAGGAGGATTAGCATGGATGTTAGCTCAGGGCTGATCTTCCTCACACAAAAAAATAAATAAATAAAATCCATGAATATTCTGCTAGGAAAAGGAACTTTATGGCAACGTATTGAAAGGGAATCTAGAGTCTAGGGTTCATTTCCTGTGTGAAGGCGTGACGTTTAACCTAGCTCTAAAGGATGAGTAAGAATTAGCCAGGCAAGGAGACTGGAAGGGGGGAAGGATTTTTCAATAGCCTGTGTAGAAAGTTGGGAGCAAGAAAAAGTCAATTAAGCCTGGAGATGAGAAAATGAGGGGTGGGGTACAGGGGAAATGAGTTTGAGGAAAAGAAGCTAGACCCTGAAGTAGGCAAGTGCCAATCACTGAAGTCGCTGAAAATAGTTAATGGATTTTAAATAGGAAGTGATATGATCGGATTTATATCTTTGAAAAATGACTCTGACTTCAGTGTGAAATATAGATTTGAGAGGCCACTAAAACACTAATGCAGTCGAAAGAATAATGGCCAGAACAGGATGGTAGCAGGGGAATGGAAAGAAGTAGACAGATTAAGAGAGACTAACATGAGCTCAGGGGCCAGACTCCTTGTGGCTGCATAGCTAGATGATCTTGGGCAAATTATTTAAACTCACTGTAACCCAGAGACCACATCTGAAAGCGCTCCCTATCTGAAAAGGCAATTGTGAAGATTTACCGAGATAGCCCATGTAAAAAGCACTTAGAACAGAGCCTCCCACATGGAAAGGGCTTAATAAATGCTAAATATTATTTAAGAGGTAGCATTGGTAGGACTTGGTGATTAATTGAGAGATATGAGCTTTCAGGGAGAGAGGAGTCAGTGATGATGCCTGGGTCTGACAACCAGGTAGAGAGTGGAATAACAGGAAACTACTAGAAGAGGCTTAAGGATTGAGATGATCAGTCCAGTTTTTAAGTACAAGACATACTGTAAACTCATAAGTCCTGCCTCCTACAAACCAGAAAGATTCTAGTAACATGAATGTCACTTTTTCCGAGTTTTCAGTACTATTGCATTTTTTACCCTATTTTCACATTCCTTGGTCATTTCAACAGATATGGAAAAGGATAAATCAGCAGCTTGTGCTAAAAGCTGCCATATTGCACAGAAGTTTTCCATTTGGTAATTTTAACACTTACTTTCATAAGAAAGCACTTTCTGGAAGGCAGTATTCCAAAAGATCCCAATTAAAAGTATTCTGTTGGGATGAAACTTTAACTGAAAATTTATGACATGAAGACTACCCTTATAATGCTGAAGTTCTTATTCCTAATTTTAGCATTAATTTACAAGCATTAATTCAATAATATTTACTGGAAGTAAACTATGGACTCCATAAGAATAATAAACAGTTAATATTGAGTTGCTATAATGTGCTGAGCACTGTTAAGTGCTTTATGTATATTAACGTATTTTTTTGGAGATTATAAAAGGAAACATAAAATACTGCCCCTAGATATGACACCAAAAGCACAAGCAACAAAAGAAAAAATAGATAAATTAGACTTTATAGAAATTAAAAACTTTTGTGCTTCAAAAGACACCATTAAGAAAATGAAAAGACAACCTACAGGATGGGGGAAAGTATTTGCAATTCACATATCTGACAAGGGGTTTGTATCAAGAATATATACTCTTACAACTCAATAATGAGATAAATAACTCAATTTAAAAATGGGCAAAGGATCTGAATAGACATCTCCCTGAGGAGAATATACAAATGAGCACATGAAAAGATGCTCGACATCATTAGCCATCAGGGAAATGCAAATCAAAACCACAATGGATACTACCTTCACATCCACCAGCATGACGAAAATAAAAAAGACAGACAATAACAAGTGTCGGTGAGGATGTGGAGAAACTGGAACTCTTATACACTGCTGGTGGCAATATAAATGGTACGGCAACTTTGGAAAACAGCCTGGCAGTTACTCAAATGGTTAAATATAGTTATCATATGAACCTTGGTATATACCCAAGATAAATGAAAACATATATCCACACAAAAAGTTGTACATGAATGTTCATAACACCATTATTCATAATAGCCAAAAAGTGGAAACCACCCAAGTGATAAATGTTGTCTATCTATACAAAGGAATATTATCCTACAATAAAAAGGAATGAATGAATGAATGAATACTATCACATGGATGAACCTTGAAAACATTACACTAAGTGAGAGAAGCCAGATCAAAAACCCACATACTAAATGATTCAACTTATATGAAATGTCTAGAGTAAGCAAATCTATAGACAGAAAGTAGATTAGTGGTTGCCTATGACTGAGGAGGCTGGGGGGGAATGGAGAGTGGCTGCTAATGGGTACACCATTTCTTTTTGAGATAATGAAAATGCTCTAAAATTGATTGTGGTGATGGTTGAACAAGTCTGTGAACATAATAAAAACCAATGAATTGTATACTTTAAATAGGTGAATTGTATGGTATGTGAATATCTCAATAAAGCTGTTTTACAAAAAAAGATAATGTCCCTCCCACATAAGGGACTTCCTATTGAGATCAGAGATTGGTTATTTTCTACCAGATAATAAATATTTTAGACTTTGTGGGCCATACAGTTTCTGTTGCAATTACTCAACTCTGCCACTGCAGTACAAAAGAAGCCACACAGAATATGTAAATGAATGAGTGTGGTATTTCAATAACATTTACCAACAATGAAACTTGAATTTCATAATTTTCATGTGTCATGAAACATTTTTCTTTTGATATTTTTTCCAATGATTTAAAAATGTAAAAACCACTCCTAGCACACAGGTCATACAAAACCCCAGTGGTCTGGATTTGGCTCATGTGTCGTTGTTTGCCAACCCCTGATCTAGTTGTACATTCTAAGTAGTCACTTCATAGCAAAACACAAAGATTTCCCTTTTTCTCAATAAATTACCTTTCAAAAATAAGTCAATCTTATTACTCACTTTTAACTTTTCTTTGAAAGCTTCCTTTTCTGCCATAATCCTTCTTAAATCAGATAATGCACGTTCTTTTTCCTTTTCCATGAGACTAACAATATTATGGGAGACTGTGGATTGGGTGGATTCTTGTCTTAGTGCAGATAATTCTTCCTGAGCCTTAAAGAATTAAAAGACATAAATAAAAAACACTTTGGATATGCTCCCAGTTAAAAACAGGCAAACTAAACACACAATACCTTTGGTCTCTTCCCAAATCCCAACAAGATGAGAGTAAAAAGATTAAAATAGTAATAATTTAAAAACCAAAAAGACAAGGAGATTGAAGGAAGAGTCAGCCACAAAATTTTGGAAATCAGATAGCAGACGGACAACTAGTAATTAACTAAGAAACCCCAAGAAAGCTGAAATCTAAGCCAAGAGTGGGGAAAGCCCAGAAGTGGATCAATTTGTACTGCAGAATCCCAAAAAAGCTCCAAAAGTGAAAACAGCTTTTTCAACTTAACCTTTTTTTTCAACTTTTTTTTTTTTTTTTTTGGTGAGGAAGATCAGCCCTGAGCTAACATCCATGCCAATCCTCCTCTCTCTGCTGAGGAAGACTGGCCCTAAGCTAACATCTATTGCCAATCCTCCTCCATTTTTTCCCTTTTTCTCCCTAAAGCCCCAGTAGATAGTTGTATGTCGTAGTTGCACATCGTTCTAGTTGCTGTATGTGGGAAGCCACCTCAGCACGGTCGGACAAGTGGTGCGTCAGTGTGCGCCTGGGATCCGAACCCGGGCCGCCAATAGCAGAGCGCACGCACTTAACCACTAAGCCACGGGGCCAGCCCCTTCAACTTAATCTTTTAACTTGCATGTCTTTCTCTCTCTCTCAAAGTAGTGGTAGGATTTCATGGAAGATTGGCCTGGGAACAAATGTAGGTGACAAACACCATGCTTTGCTCAGACTAACCTTGCCCTCTGACAACTGAGGCTTTGTAATTGGGCCAAGCTGTATCAATTCCCTCTTCCCTAGAGTTTTTTCACTACGGGCTAAGCCCTTAATACCCAACATATCCAAATAGTGGGTGCTACCCCCCATTTGACAGACATATCCCAACATGTCTGAATCCCAAGGATAAACTTTGCTCAGAGTCTGGCTAAGACCTGTTCCAAGTAGTTTTAGAAGTAAGAGGTTATCTCTAACTGACCTGACAGATAGATAGGCTAGAAAAGAGGAAGAATAACTATGAAAAAATAATAGAAATCTCTGCTTTGGGAATAGGACAATAGTAGAAACTACTCCTTATAATTCTAATTATAAAGGAACATCACAAGATCCATATATTACAGTAATTTAAAGAATATATACTGGTTCCACTACAGTTAACTGGTTCTATATAATCTGTTGGCTTAATTATAATCAATTTCTTACTTCATTATATAAGACACTTAGTTTATCTCTTTCTGCTGTCAATAATTTAACATTGGACTGTATATCCTCCATATATTTTTCAAATCTTTCCAGCATACGCTGAAGTTCATCTCTTTCTCTTGTGATCAGATGAATTTCTGAATTGTAATCACCCTGAAACATAATTTAAAAGCAGAAGTTATCATTTGTTATAATTATCACCACATGGTTGTCACAAGGATGCTGGTGATGAGACTGACTGAAAGATGCTAACAGACAAAAAAGAACACAAGTTCCTTTAATGTAATTAAGAAACACAATTTTTAATATATGATGAGAGCAGGAGATGAGAATGCCGGCCATACTGGGGCAAATTTCCTGGCCTTCAAGTTCCCAGGAAGACACCCAGCTGTCAATGATACTACTTGATCAGATCCCATCACATACTTTAACTGTCACTCTCTTGGGGTTGTTTATAGCAGTGGTAACTAAAGTGCCATCCCCAGACCAGAAGCATCAGCAGCATCTAGGAACTTGTTAGACATGCAAGTTTGAGGGCCCACCCCAGACCTACTCAGTCAGAAACTTTGGGGTCAGGGCCCAGTAACTGTGGTTTATTCAAACTGTCCAGATGATTATGATGCATGCTAATTGTTGGGAACCACAGTTTATAACCGTCTCCAGGAGAGGAACTAGAAGGACATGTGTGTGCCTGCTTACCCAGTGCAAATAACTATAACAGCCTAGCACATCCCTCAGTGTTCTCTGTGACTGAATCTAGATCAATTTCCCAGCACACCAACCCCCAACTGTCCCAGCTTCAAACCTATGTGAGGTCTATTTTTACAACCAGATAAATATAAATATTTATACCAGGCAGTGTACATCAAGGATGTTCACTGAATAAGCAACTATTTCTAACATTTCTAAAACAAGATTATGCCTATTATTCAGGTATAATTCACAAGACCCACTATCTTCACAGTTATTGTGGAAAATAAAATGGTAAATGTAGACTTTGGATCTATGGTAACTTAATGTTGAAGTACTAAATGCAGAAGCCCCAGGTAAGAAGAATCCGATAATTCAGTACACTGGAAAGCATCCTAATCTATGTTATTCAATATCTACTGTGCACATCCCATGTCCAATGTAGACTTGCTAAAGGGTAGATATCTGTGACATACTCCTCACCGGCTACTTGGAAATAAGTTATCCTCTTGGTTAAATAAACAAAATCAAGGCATAATGGATGAGATTAGCTATCTGGACACCTTAAAGGATAAGATGTTTTACAGCATAAAAGTGGATCAGAGTTTGAGGACTTAATCAAGGCTTAAATAACTATCAAAGAAAATCTGTAACTTAACTATATCCAAATAAAAATATCTTACAGAAAGGAGGGGGTCTGTGTAGATTTAAAAAACGGGAGCTTAATAAATAAGGATTTGGCAGTCTATTTTCATGACTATCTAGGTCTCAGCTTAAAGGTCACTTTCTCTAAGAAGTCCTTTCCAATTCTCCAATCTAATTTAGATCTCTCTATACTCTCATAGTATTCTGAATCTTTCATGTATTCTTTCTTCATTAATACTTATTATAAATGAGATTATAAAGTCATTTACATGATTATGTGTTTGATGTATGTCTTTACCACTGAACTGTAAGTTCTATGAGGGACACAGCGGGTATCTGTCTTATTCACCACATCTTCAGTGCCTGGCATGGTGCCTGGTAAAACGTGTGAATTCCCTAACACTGACTGACTGGCCTTCTTAAGCAGGAACTCTAGGTCTTTTGTAAATATATCTTCTATGTAGGTATTTTATATTTGTGTTAATATATAATTGTTAATAACTCTCTTTCAGCCATCCAGTATTCCTAACACACACATACACACAGACACACATGCTCACGCACACACACGCACAATACTGAAGGCTATGAGGATAGTAACTATGTCTTCTTTATGTCATATCCCCAGTGCCTCATTCACAGCGGGCACTCAGTATATATCTGTTGAACTGAACTGAACTTTCTACCTAGACCTGATGTGCTTTGAACTAGTAAGTAATGAGGAAATGAAACATTTACTAGGAACTAGGTGTTACACTAGACCCTTATGCAAATCATCTCGTATAATCTTCACAGGAGGTTGCAGTTACTTTCCCCACTTGGCAAATAAGGAAACCGGGGTTCCATGAAGCTAGGTTTCTTCTTCAAGGTCATAAAGCCAGTTTGTGGGGTTGGAATTTCTATCAGGTCTCCAACTCTAAAGCACTCTCCACTACACTATACCAAAACTCACAGTAGGAACCATGATGAGTACAAGGTGAAAGGGGACAGCGCCCTCCCTACACAGACAATAGAGAACCAACGGGTATACTGTTGACAAAGATCATTGATATTAAAAACGTCAATATTTTTTCTGAGTTATTGCAATCCCAAGAAACTGTGCCTAAACAGTTTGCCATAAAGCAGGGGTTGAAAACTCACAGCTTGTTCAAATTCAGCTTTAGAGAGGTCTTTGTTGTCTGCCAAAAAAGCGTTTCTAAACATGTTCAAAATACCCAGTTTTAGGTGGGGATGGACTCTCTAGTTCCCCACACTCACAACTGTCTTACCCTCCACTCATCTACTACTCCCTACCACGCCTGCAACTTGTTATTTGGACTCTAAAATGCTCTGAACACTCTAACTTTCTAAACTTTAGAAAATGAATTCTTTATCCATGTCAAGTAGCATCAGAACATTTCAAGAGGGCCGGCCCCGTGGCTTAGCGGTTAAGTGCGTGCACTCCACTGCTGGCGGCCCGGGTTCGGATCCCGGGCGTGCACCGACGCACCGCTTCTCCGGCCATGCTGAGGCCGCGTCCCACATACAGCAACTAGAAGGATGTGCAGCTATGACATACAACTATCTACTG